TTATAATATAGCACATTCCAGAATTCTGAAAGGTCCTCCTTCCCAGGAATAGGAGTGCAGAGCTTGCTTCAAGGTTTTCTTTCTTCTCAGGCTCAGCTTCTTTGGCATCCACTTGACAATTTCTTTTGCCTGCTTTGTAGTATTAAGTGCAGCATAACACTAACGTTGAAAACCACTTAAGCTTTGCACTTTGTACTTTTTTGGCCCTGCCTGTTGGATCCTCTGGCATCATCATGCATGTCTGCTTCTACTGGATTGCTTCCTTTCGAACCCTGTAAGCTACAAAGTGAAACTGATTAGGATTTTCCAGTTGTGGTAATTTTCCTTCTGGTATTCTACCAAGAAAATGCTGTAGCACAAGGAGCTGATGAATCATTTTGCAGTGCTTTTTTTTTTTTCTCCTTGTATTTGAAAAAGTAGGTATGGTTATGAACATGGACATTGTCTCTCAATATCATGAGTACAATACTACCATACAGTAAAGTCATCAGTGTTACCTTTGGTCTCTCATAAATGTAATATATTTAATTTTTTTTAAGCAAATTGAGTTCTCCAGAGACATTTCATTCATGTAAAATTTCACTAATGTAAATTTTAATTTGCTTGTGCTGGGACTAAAATTCCCGAGCACCTGCTGCTCTGTGTCTGGCATTGTCCTAGGGGCCTTACACCTGTTAAACCATTAAATCATCACAGCAGGCACAGAAGTCACTGGTATGGATTCTAACATTTCACTGAAAAGCATTTGAAGCTGAGTATTTTGAAGTAACTTTTCCTATAGCACTCGGCTATGAAGTCTCAAAGTTAGAATCTGACTCCTTTTTGTGTGACTCAGGCTAAAGCAGGCTGCATAATTGGTGGTAGATAAAGGAACAAATTCAGGCTTCATTTTGTTTTTAGGCATGATTTGAAAAACAAAGCCAACTGCCGTTGGTTGAGATGGAAGGCTGTCGGGAATTAATTCAGCTTACTACTGAGTATAATCTTTGGCAAGGTTCCGGGCTTCTGCCACATAGTACTGCCAGATCAGAAGGGGTGCTCTGATCAGTGATTTCATTTCTATATAATTGTTTACTGTGTAAACAAGTGAACCATGGGAAAAAATTCATATGGGGCCAGAGTGTATATTTCCCTAACTTGTTGGAGGCACTGCTGGCATGGACATTCTATCTGCTTGTTATTGGCATTTAACTCAGAGCCATGATTCCCAAAGCTAGGATCTTGACTGGGGTCCAGCATCTGCCATTTGTTCCTGCCTTCTCAGTCCCATTACATATTTTCCCAGTAATATTTGCTTATATTTTATACTATTGTGATACCTTCTTAATCTGATCTCTCTTCTCTCTATCCTAAGTACTATCTACTAGAGTAATTTTTTTTCAAAATACAATTCTGCCTTACAATACTGTGTTTCATATTCTGGTTCTTTTGTATAATATTCTTGAAATGACAAATTTATAGAGATGGAAAGCTGATTAGTGGTTGCCTGGTGTTAGGGATGTTGGGATGAAAGGGAGTTCAAAGTTCCTCTCAAAGGGTAGCCAGCATGATGCAAATCTTTGAATAGTTCTATATCTAGATTTGTGGTGTTGGTTATATGAAGCATGTGTGATAAAATGACAAAACTACACACAAACTTATCAGTTTCCTGGCTTCAGTGTTCTACTGTAGGTACCTAATGTGTATGTAATAGGGAAAAGTAGATGAAAGATAGAGGAGATCTCTTTGTATAGTTTTTGTAACTTCATGTGAATCTCTGTTAACAAATTAAAAATTAAAAAAAAAACTTGTTTAAACTGTCAAGTTGGGCTGGAGTTGTAGCTCAGTGGTAGAGAGCTTACCCAGCATATATGAGTCACTGGGTTCAATTCTTAGAACCACATATAAATAAATAAAATAAAGATCATCGACAACTAAAAAGAATGTACATTTAAAAAAAACCTGTCAAATTTCTTTGTCTCTCATATCCACTATTTCATATTCTCTGTTTCTCTTGAATTAATTGTCCAAAGTTGTCTTCTATAAATCTTTTTACTTCAGTATTACTTCATGTTAACATAGTATTTGGCTTATTTCAGGTTACCAAAAATTGCTCCTTGAATTGATCATGGAACAATTAAATATGCTTTGATCTCATTACTAATCATCCGTCTTTCCTACTAATTTTTTGGTCTTTCTTGTCTCTGTCTACACTTTTTCAAGAACTAAGCAGCATGACAGGAATTTGATGGTGGAATCTTGGGGACTTGGGCTTGCGGACTTGCCTGGGATGTTGCCCTACTCATGATCGTTATCTCAAAACACTAAATCTGGTCGCCTATTCTAAAAGTCAGGGACTTTTTGAGAACTTTAGACTCGGTGCCATGAAATCAAGATGAGTCAGGAAACCCAGAATAGGAACTGTGCTTCTACTCATTCAAATTTATTGAGAATTTTAGCTCAGTATATGATTTTTCTTTGTATTCTGCAGTTATAATGTTCTGTAAAAATATTTCAGACCTTCTGTGTCTTTTAAGATTTATTGTTTAGTTTCTTTGTATTTTGATAGGGTTCTATCAATTATTCAAACTGTGATTGTGGAAGTTGTCTACTTCTCCCTGTAATTCTGTTAAGTTTTGCTTCATATAATCTGCAGCTCTGTTATTATTAGGTACATAAATATTTATGATTGTTATGCCTTCTTCCTGATAAATTGACCTTTTCTAAAAATGTTGGGGATTGAGCCTAGGGCCTATAAGTCATCATTCTGAATGATCCCTTTATGTCTTTGTCTTCAGCATCTCATGCTTACTGTTTGTACCGTCTATTATCTTTTTTATTCTTTACTTTCTTTCTGTGACTTTATATTTCACATGGATCCCTTAGAGACAGTTACTATTATTACTTTTTAAAATCAGTCTGGCCATCTTGTCCTTTTACACAGTGTGTCTAGTTCCTTAACATTTCATGTCTTTGCTGGTATGGCTAGATCCAGGCTTCATTTACTATTTGCTTTTAATTTGTCCGTTTTGTTTTGTTTTCCCTGTGTTCTTCTTTTATTGCCTTCATTTGGGTTGTATGTTCCAAAACGAGTTTTAAAATTCCAGTTTAATTTATAAATTGCCTTTTCTTTTGTTAAGTAGCTATATATCCTCGACTTCTCTTTTGAGTTGTTTAGGATTTTTATTATGTCAATTCATTTAACATGCAAGGACCCTGCTCCTGTGTATGGCACTTGTCTCCTCTGAAACATAGCCATCATGCTATAATTGTTATATGTCTAACATTCACCTATGCTTTAAATCCTGCAGTGAAGTATTGTAAAACTTTATGATAAAGGGAGAACTTTGTTAAGGATATGGCAAGTTCTGCTGTGGACAGATTTTCTCTTATCTGAAAGTTTATTTTGCCTTCATTGATGGGTATGTGGTCTTTTTTCTTTGATCCTGGACTCCAGGATGACAGCTGTTCACCTCTGCTGAAGTCGGAAGTCTTCACTGATGCTTATCATTGTTTCTTTGCATGTAATGTATAGTTTCTTTCATAATTTCCCCCCTTATATTTAGTTTTCAGGAATTTGTGCGTTTGGGTATCATTTTCTTTACATTCCTGTTTGGTGCATAGGTTTTGAGTCTCTTCAAATCATACACCTGTCTTTCACCCAACCTGGGAAATTTTCAGTTCCTCTTTCCTACATTATTCTCTCTTCTCAAGTTCTCTACTAGGCCTTCTGAAACAAATTACATAAATGTTTACTCTTTTGCTTGTGCCCCACATTGATGATAGTGCTCATGTTTGTTTTTATCCTTTTCTGATTGGATTTTCCTTTACATACTTAAAGTTTGTGTAACTATTTTAATGTCATTGTGGGCTAAATCCAATACTTGGATTGGAATATTTTCTTCATTTGACTACAGATTACATTTTTCAGTTTGTGCACAGATTGCTTTGACTTTCAATTGTATTGGGTTCACTTTAAATGACATTTTTTAATAAAATCTGTATCAAAAGAATTCAGTTTTTTTCCCCTTAACAGGCAGTTGTTTTTGCTGAACTCAAACAGAATTTTTGCTTTTTTTTGTGGCTGGTGACTGCTCTATTGATTCACTCAAATAACTAGTATTGAATATGTGCTCTGTGTCATGCACTAAAATAGGTGACTATGCTACAAGTAAAAATAGACAGGCCATAACCTCAAGAGATATGCTGTTGGTTGATTGACATATAAAATTGAACTAATAAGTATGCTAAATTCCTATATGCTACATTAGATAAGTTCGTAGAAGCAATGATGTTACTGAGAAAAGCAGTTCTGAAATTGCTAAAGTGCAACTTAAAAATTATTTTTGAAACAGTTTAATCCTTGTGAGAATAAAAGGTAGTTTATTTGTTGTATAGAGTGGTGATGAAAGATTGACTGATGAAGAATACCTCTTAAAAGTTTTAATTCTTGAATTAAATAGAAGGAATACATGCCTCTCTTTCCTACCGGGGCATCTAACCCTGGGGGGCTTTAGCTCTGAGCCACATACCCAGTCCTTGTGCACTTTTGAGATAGGTTCTTGCTGAATTGCACAGGCTGGCCTCAAACTCATGATCCTTCTGCCTCAGCTTCCCAGGTAGCTGGGATTACAGCTGTGCACCATTATACCTGTCAGTGAAATGCGTTTTGATATGAAAAGAGGATATAAGAAAATCTAAGCATACCAAACAAATGTTTATAAGTAACATTTTAGAGATTATGGAAATAAAAAAAGACATATATATGCTAGAAAAAGTATGACTTGGAAGAAAGAAATTTCAAAACCGTTAACAGAAAGATCCATTTAAAACTCTGCAAGTATGTATTAAAAATCTGTAAGCTCCCTATGTCACTGACAAATGAGGTTTTCAGGATCTTGTCTGGTCTTAATTTTATTTTAATCGGTGTAAATGAATGTATAACATTGGGTTTGTTATGCTTTTGTAAGAGCATGTCTGCTTTCACAATAACTTAAAACTTTCTTTTCCTATTTTAACAGTGTATCCTACTCAGTACATGTGTCTGAAGATTACCCAGGTATGCTTTCCTTTTTTTTTTTGTTACAAATATTCATGTTCTAACTCCTTGGAATGTTCTTTTCCCCTTCTGGAGATATAAATATAAATATAGTGAGTGGTGAAGTGTTGACAGAGGAAGTCTTAAAAGATATAGAAATCTGTTGATTACTTGTGAAGTACATGTGTTAATCTGAGACATAGTTCAGAGTCAAAACAATTTACCATTAAAAAGCACTTATATGAGTTCATGTGATATCTTCAGCCTGTATCAATACATCATTACAATTAAAGATTATCTGAACTGGTGTAGTCATTAGTTTTGGACATTATTTGGCTTTTCATAATATACAAATACAGGTAATACTTATTTGTTCTTTCTCTTTCCCTCCCTCTCTCCTAACTACTTAAAATTATTTTTCTATGCTCTCCATATGTTTTGAACATAATATTATAAAAAAACTATTTTACAATAATACAATGGGGATTGTTCATTATTAAGGGCATGCCTATTTTTAGAGAGTAATATAGAAAGCATACTTGGCATGCTTTACTGGATGAGCAAAATCAAATATTTGTAAAGAAAAATATTGTTGGTAGATGGACATGAAGTCATTGTACTTATTATGATATTATATGTTTTGGATCCTGAATTCTTGTAAGTTATCCTTGGAAAATAAAAGACCTACTTCTTACTGTAAAAACTGTATTTATTGTGCTTCTCATCTGGGCTTCTTGGAGAGATGTTAACAATGAGAGGGGCAAAAGTTTAAATCAAGGTGCTAGAAGTAATGCCACAAATCAAAGCCTAATTTGAAGATGTTAAGTGAATTATTCTGTGGTATTAGATATAAAGAAGATGCATTTAGTGTACCAGGTGTACCAAATGCTTAGCGCCCTCTTGTGGCCAAGAGGTATTAATTGGGTTTTTCCTGCATTTCACAGAAGCATTTGGAAATATTAATATGTAAAAATTGAAATTTTAAAACAAAGTTTTTGTTATTATTTGTGCCGTTTTTCCACTGAATTTTACTTCCTGGAACAAGTTTGTAGTGAATTTAAAATATGATTTCCCCAAAGAGGAGGAGTATACATAAATAAACACTGTATTTGATCTACTTGATCAAAAAGTTGGTTTAGGTAGGCTGTAGTAAAACACAAGGAGGGATGAAGGAGATTAGAGCATTGGGTTTTAAGTACTGGGGCAGAATAGTGAATTGGTTGTTGTGTCTAGTATACCAAAACACACTGTACACAGCCCAGCTTACCAAAATATTTCCACATAATTTCAGGGGATTCTAAATGCCTGCCTGTGTGAAAGGCCAAACAGGGGCAGTCATAATCTTCAAACTTGAAGAAATGTGCTGAGAGATTAAATAATATTTCCCAAGGAAATAAAATTTGATGGCTAAAAAAAGTCTACAATTCAGTTTTGATTCCTGTTGCTTCTTAGGAAGAAGCAGTATTAGCATTTTTATAGTGATTTCTTCAAAGTGAAAGTTAATATGATAACATTTGCATCATTACTCAATTTTAATCCATGTGTATATTTACAAAGAGTTGTTAAGTCATGCTTAACTTTTCAAAAGACAGCATTATATAAAATCATGTTTGCTCTTTGTTTCCAACATTCATACCTGTATGTTTATTTATTTTTCTTCTTCCTTTCTGGCATTGGTTAGAAGTTCCGGAATAAGTTTTAATAATGAATGGGGTGCCTGGGATGAGTGTAGGAACTTTAGATTGGGAAAAGGGAAGAGAGAAGAAGGGAAGGGAGTAGGAAAGATGGTGGAATGAGACGGACATCATTACATGTTTGTACATGTATGATTGCACAAATGGTGTGGCCCTACTTTATATACAACCAGAGAAGTGAAAAATTGTGCTCCATTTGTGTACAATGATTCAAAGAGCATTTTACTGTCATGTACAACTGATTAGAACAAATAAATAAGTAAAAATAATTTTAATAATAGGTATGAACATTGGCAGCTTTTTACCTTTTCTCAAAATTAACATGTTTCCAATTGCTTTCACAAAATCAAGTATCATTCCTTTTCTCATTTGTCACTTTTTGTTTAAAAACTTAAGGAATAGTAAATACTCATTAACTTCTTAGTAGGAAAACTATTGGAGTATTGTGTATTTTCGCCTTTAAAAATAAGGTGACATGTTACTTTCCAGGTGTCTAAATGGTGATCTATAAAAATTATGTGTGTTGTTGTCGTATACTTTGGCATGATAGACTTTTGGTTCCTGATGGAAGTAAACTGTTACACTTGGAGCAAGCAAGCCTGTCCAAGACGTGTATCATTATAGTGATAGTTCCAGGGCAATTCTCTACCACGACTGTTCTGTTTTTCTCTTTCTTAGACATCTTTTAACTTGTGTTCTTCCTTAAAGTCACTATGTTGCTTAAATGGCCATTTTTTAAAAAAAGTAAACAGTATTTGATTTGGAGTTGTTAAAAAACAAAAAATCTTGTGTGTCTGTGTGATTATTTCTCCTTTCTTACTTTTTTTTTGGGGTGGGATGACAAGGATTGATACAGGGGCATTTGGCCACTGAGCCACATCCCCAGTGGGCCCCCCCCCCGCCCTTAAATATTTATATTTTAGTTGTATTTTTGACATAATACCTTTATTCCATTCATTCATTTTTATGTGGTGCTGAGGATTGAACCCAGGGCCTTGCATGTGGGAGTAGAGCACTTTTGTTGTGTTTTATTTAGAGACAAGGTCTCACTCATTTAGTTGCTTCATGCCTCGCCATTGCTGAGGCTGGCTTTGAACTCCTGTCTTGGGATTACAGGCATGCGCCACCACGCCCAACTCCTTTCCTATTTTTGTTGTTTTTATTTGTTCTTGTCCTCCTCCACCACTGGTTTGTCTTCCAAAACATTTGTCTGTTTAAATTTCTTTTTAAATAATTAGCTCTTTTTATAGTTGGTTTTTAAGCACTAGTGTGGTAATCTCAACATTACTTTTATTAATACCTTCAGATAATGCTCCTTAGGATTTTTGCTCCTCTACTTTTTTGTGATTATATATTTTAGTGATTAGATCATCATCTAAACTTAGTGATTAGATAATCACTAAAATATATAATATATTATGAGCTTTTCTTTGCTCTATGTAAATGTATCAGCATTATTCTTTTTTTAAAAAAATATTTATTTAGTTGTAGATGAGCACACAGTATATTTTTATTTTTATGTGATGCTGGGGATTGAACCCAGTACCTCACACATGCAAGTTAAGCACTTTTACCATTGAGCTACAGCCCCAGCCCCAGCATTATTCTTTAGAATAAGAATTAAGTCACCTTAGCTTATGTCCCTAGGAGTGGATTTATCATTTTACAATTTTGCTCTGCTAGTTAGCCTTTGCCATCTATTGATACTTATTTCATAGTTTGTGAAAATTACAATTCCATTTTATTGAGTCAGGCACACACAATGGCATGAATGTAAATGAGAAACCAAATGATATGTTGACTCTTCAAAATAAAGTGAATAAATAGAGCAGCTTTCTGTCTTGTATTTTTTTTTTTTGTGGATTTTATAGAGGAGATCTTTTGGGGGGGGGTAGTGGAATAAAGAGCAGATGTACGCTATGTAAGTCACAGGTTGGCTCTGCTATAGTAAAATAGCGAAAGTCTTACTACTCATCTGTTCCCACCTTTAATTAGGAGGCTTACCTACTGATGAGAGTGAATTCTCTCACCTCTTCTATATTCCTCACTAGGATCTAGAGGAGTGAGGAGACAGTTTCTGGGTTCTCTGGTTCTTGTAAATCCCAAAGTCTTGACTTAGGTCACATATTTGAACATTGAAATAGCTTTGTGTATAAATCATTTAAAAATTAGAATCCTATACAGTCTCTTATCAAGTTAGAAACTCTAAAGTATAATTGTTTAAATACTTAAGAAGCATTTATATTTTGTAAGACTGTATTGTTATTTCAAAAAACATAATGACAAATTTTGTGTTTGAATTCAGAAATATTTGAGCTTCATCACTTTCTACTGGTATAATTAATTAATTACTTAAGTAATTTGAACAGATGACTTAATATCTCTGTCTCTATATACTAATGTAAAATAGAAATAATAATTGACTTGCTTAGGAGATGACTTGAAATTACATAGAAAATTCAAGGAAAATATATAGGATCATACCAAATCTATGTAATTATTGCTTATAATTGTCATTTCTTTTAAATTACATAGTAATGAAGAATGGAATGACTTAAATTATGCTGCATTTGAAGTAGAATGAAAACAGTAGTTTAAAAGGGGCTTTTCTGTAGCTCTCTACTTATCTTTCCCAGTTGTCTATGAAAGTTCTGGTAATATGTGAATCCTTTGGTAGGAAAGCGAAGAGAAAAATATTCATATTGTTGCCAGCTTTAATAAAGATCTGTTAGTCTACAAAATGTACACATTAAATAACCTATTTCCAGAGGTCTCAAAGCAAGACAAATCAAAATTGACAGTTCTGGGGTCAAGTAGAATTCCATTGAGGAAATTTATTTTGAAAACATCCTGTTTCTGTTACCGTAAATGTATTCCGTAACCCTAATTATGTCCTACTTTGCCATTTCTAAATGATGATAATATTACAGGTGGCAAAATAATTCAAGGAAGATTTATATATAACTTTATAAAAAATGTGTATTGTTTAGTTGTTCATGGACCTTAATTTTATTTATTTATTTTTATGTGGTGCTGAGAATCTAACCCAGTGCCTCACACATGCTATGCAACCGCTTTACCACTGAGCTACAACTCCAGCCCCAGGAAAATTTATAAGTAATTGCTTATTTATTTTTGGTATTGGGAATTGAACCAGGTGTGCTCTACCACTGAGCTGTATCCCTAGTCCTTTTTATTATTTTGATATAGGATCTCTCTAAGTTGCTGAGGATGGCTTCAAACTTGGCAGTGCTCCTGCTTCAGCCTGTCAAGTACTGGGATTACAGGCATGTACCAGCAGGCCCTGCTGATGTTGTTAACAACAACAACAACAACAAAAAGAAAAACAGAATGGATTGGTACTGTTGTTGCAACCTCAGAGATCATCAACACGCCCTCCTTGTTTAAAGCTAAGATTCAAATCTCCTCAGTAACATATCTAACATCACCCATGCTGTGTATTAGGACCTTGGAACTTTTTCATTTTATAAGTGAATGTTTTAGAAACACCTGGTTTCCCTTTGACCACCATCTTTATATTTCTCCCCAATCTGCAGGCCCTGGCAACCACTGTTCTACTCTTAGTCTTTTCCAGTTCAGTTTTTTTTAAAAGGGTCCATGTATATGAGATGAAATATTTGTTTCTGGCTTATTTCTGGGGATGTGGCTCATGTGGTTAAGCATCCCTGCGTTCAATTCCTGGAATCAAAAAAAGAAAGAAAAAAAATAAAAGGGTATGTCTTTGTGATCTGATGAGGCCCATTATAACATGGAAGTAATTTAATTGTTAATGACATGAAATCTGAGAACATCTTGATTTTTGGTTATCTTAAATCAAATATATATTCACATTATATTATATTGCATCAAATCATTGTTCTATGGTTTACTTGTACTTTTTTTGGTGGATTTTATATTGTAAGATTTGTTCTCCCCCACCCCCAGTAATGAATAGAGAATAGTTGTATACATTACTTTACATGAGCCATTTTGATAGAAAATTTTTAAGTTATTCACTGTTTATTTCTTTTTAAAATTTTTGACTTAGAACTTTATAATCATACATAGTATTTGGGATTACCCTGATAAGTGCATACTGGAAATGAAATTTTAGTTCACGAATGTTCAATCTGCCTGTTTTTTTTTTTGGTTTGGTTTGAGGGGGCATGGTGCTGGGGATTAACACATGGTAGGCAAATACTTGACCTCTGAGCTATACCCAGGATCTTAACACATGTTAGGCAAACACTTGACCACTCAGCTTCATGATATCTTAAGAATATCTTAATTTGCCTGTCTCTAGAAGGCTTCAGTAAAATCTCCATCATCCCACAATGCCAGGAATTGCATGATACCTCCCACTTTATGGATCATTCAAGATCATCACTTCTAGCTGGTGGTCAGCTGCTACTTTTTGTTTTTCTAAAGCTCCCTTTTTATACTTATTTTCTCCCTACTTTACTCCAGTGAATCCATTCTGCAAAAGTAAAACAGATAATTATGTTGATTTAGTAGTAAATAACTTTGAATTACTAACAGGGAAAGACTTAAAAAAAAAAATCTGGCTCTAATGGAAAGGTTTTATGCTTACCTGAAAGTACAAGGTTATGGCCAGAAGTGATTCTTGATAAATGGTCAACTAGCAGGCTAAAACATTAACTAAAATAAATTATAGTAAATGTGTTTCTTAATCTGTGGTCCCACTTGATAGGCATGAAAATTTCATAACCTCCTTGATGGTATTTGAACATTAAATAAAGCACTATTTGTGATTAACAGTAGTCAAAGCCATGAGGCAGAGTTGTTTTGTTTCAGGGATAATCAACTCCCACTCCTCTCTCCTTCCTGAATAACTGTTAAAGACTTAATGTCTGTTGAGAGTCTTTTTGCAGTTAAGCTGTAGGTGCATATTTCTATCATTGACTTATTCTCAAAGTCTAAAAACAGTACAGATGTTTTTTCAGAAATAAAGTAATGACTTAGATAACTATCAATTAAGAATCATGTTCTCACTGTACTGACACAATATTATGAAAAGCTGGCTCAGAAAGATCTTGTAACATGCATTCCTTCAGTCATCTCAACATTTTCCCTTCGCAGAAATTGATCCATGTTTCTATAATTCACCAGTAATATTTTATTTATACAATTTAGTAGGTCCTTGATGAGTGCATTATAGAATCATCATTAATGAATTAGTTCATTAAATAGCTGTCTTACAGATTTCTGCAGTCAGAAATGAGAAAAGGACAGTAAATACCTGTCTATTATATTTCCATATACTTGTAGATATGTGTCTATCAGAACAAAGTGTTGAACTTATATATTATTTTTCCAGAAGAAACAAACAATAAATAAGAAATGCAAGGACTCATGGAATATTCTAATACTCTGCATACTCAACTTGAATAATGAAGATAAATAAAATTAATTTAGGGAAGAATGATAATTAATAATTATTATGAATGATAATTATGTTCTTTATATCAATTAAAAAAATATACAGTAGAGGGCTGGGGATATAGCTCAGTTGGTAGAATGCTTGCCTTGTATTCATAAGGCCCTGGGTTCAATCTCCAGCAGCAGCACCACCATCATCACCACCACCACCACCACCACCACCACCACCAACAACAACAACAACAACAACAAAAACCAACGATAGAACATTATGATTTCAACAGAATCTTCAGTTCAAATTCTTAACATGATTTGACTGTGAATTTCTTTTACTGTATCATGTGCTCTTGAGATTTTTCCCTCCACACTTTCACCCTGCTCCTTATGGTCCATATTGATAGAGAGCAGGACCCAGTTGAGGAAAACCAGTTACATCTGAATGATTTATTGCCTCATGGGATATTAGAAATGTATTTGGATAGGGTCTATCTAAAGTCTGTATTTTCAAGGGAGACTATAAAAATCTTTCATCAGGCCATTTATGCATACATCTGAAATTTGCTTCATTTTTAAAAGAGTTTAATTAGAGTAGCAGTGTGTTCTTTATAAGAATTTGAACTGTAACGTGATCTGAAATTTCTTATTTTACAATTTTATTTTACACTGTGCCTTTAATTATCCATATATTTTTTTGTGTGCAGACAATACATACGTGTCAAGTTCAGAAAATGATGAAGATGTACTAGTTACTACAGAGCCAATTCCAGTAATTTTTCATAGAATTGCAACAGGTACTAGTAATACTATTTTTTTTATCCTAGGTTGATTTTTCTTAATTGATGTAGCTTTGTATCTTTGTGTCTTTTATCTGAGTTAACTAATATTCACCTTTAGCATCTATTAATCTGGTTCTCTGTGTATACCTTCTGTTTAAAAACTATTAGTTTGTTAACATGTGAGTTAATTGTTTAAAAAACCTCGTTTAAGAGTATTATGTTGACAATGGCTGGTATAGGTCATTTCCTTATATATTATTTTTCTACTTAATGGCAATGAAAAATACTGTAAATATATTCTGAGAGCTGAGGAAATTTGTATACTGGTGCTTTAGTTTGATAACATCTTTACATACACTGAAAAAAATCAGAATAACTTGCATTATTGTATTTTTCCCCAATACGATAAAATTACAAAATATCCTTTAGTTCTTTGCAAAGTAGAGGGAGGGGGTAGTTTTAGATGGAAACTCATGAACGCTTGGGGAATGGTGTCCTCAAAACTAAAGTAATTTTTAAAATTATAACTTTATTTCAGAACTAAGAAAAACAAATGACATTAACTGTTGTTTATCCATAAAATCCAAACTCCAAAAGGAAAATGGGGAGGTATGTAAGTTCTATTTCTTGTTTTTTGTAAACAGCATGAATATGTTTTAAATTTACCATGTATTGGGAGTTAATATCTCATTGTTACTTAGATTAAAATTGAATGTTGTGAATGAAAATCAAGCTTGTGAGTTAGGTACTCTTTATGTGGTAAGGGGAGTGACCTAAAATAATAGAAAAGAACATTTGGTTGAAAAATGGTTGAAATGCGTTCCAAACATAATTTTTTCTTTTGATTACATAGAACTCCACATGGCTATACATAATTTTGATGGGACCCTTAGGATCGGTATAGTCATATTATTTATTGTTCAGTATTTTTTTAAAAAATTATGTCTTCTCCCCACTTTTTAAAAATTCACTTGAGTCTATGAATAAATAACATGACATTTAGAAAAATATGTGCAGTAGGACAGTAGTTCTTTCCTTAAAAGCTATGCACTTGATACAGCTCCCTTCCTGTTAAGGGTTGTGCCATGGATCCTTCCTTTGTTTATCCACAGTGAGAATTGCTGCTTGCTCCACACTGTTATTGACCAAATGCTATTCCAAAAGTCCCCTTTTATGGTTGTTTTATTTTCCTTAAGAACTTGAAATTTAGGAATGAATATTTCATATAAAATATTGGATGAATGGATTCTTGCGCCCAAAAGAAGTTACCTATTGTTTCTGACATTGTTAATATTAAGGCGATAATAGAAATACCAATAAGAATTTTCATTTTTTTGTACTCAGTCCTCATAGCAGCTTTGTGCATTTAATTAAAAACTGAAACTTCAAGTTTAAGCATTTGAATACCTGTTTGAATTCTGAATTCTAAAATAAGTTCTATATACTGAAAGTTTTTTTCACAATGTGATTCATATTTATGTTTATTTGATTTTTATATTATCGCATTCATTCTTTTTTATTTTGATGTTGGCAATAGAAGGGAGGTCAGTCTTGGATAAACAATGCAAAGAGACTTGTTAATAAAAATTATACTAGTATGAACTCGCCAAATGTTTTTTGTCAAATGAAAGCTGAACATATAATTGATCATACAAAGGTTTTTAATACATATAAGCTTTTAATGCATATCAGATAATAAATTACAAATTTTAAGATCAGAGAAAGAAAGAAAGAAGGGAGGGAGGGAGGAAGGGAGGGAGGGAGCAAGGAAGGAAGGTTGGTTTCCAGGAAGTTATATTTTATGAAGAGGTCAGTGCGTCTGCAAAACTTCCTCTTACTACTCTTTTGTTATACTACTGCACCAAGAAATCTATATATGAAATTGTGGTACTATGCATAAAAGCTTTCTATTATGGCAAATTTATTTTCAAATGGAGGCAAAGTAGTTTGACCATTAAAATTGTCTTATTACTCTCATTGTTTTAAGGAGTCAAGACAAAATAGTACAGTGGAAGAGGATTCTGAAGGTGATAATGATTCTGAAGAATTTTATTATGGAGGACAGGTAAGAAAACCTGTCTTCCAAATATCCAGTCTCAAAGTTCTGATATCCATGTTTATCTTAGTAGAAATCAGTACCTGAAAGTTAAGCGACCTAGGAGTTCATCATGACTATGTGACTAACTAGAAAAATCTGTATAATTGATCTGTTTCTCATTTTTTCTACATATCTTCAGAAACAAGATTATCTTTTTTTTAAAACTGTAATCATTTATTTACTTTGAAGTTGTCTTAATTCATTCCAGAAATTTTTCAGATTACATTTTCTTGTGCTTTTAGCTTTTATTTTGGTTAAGTATATAGCACTTAGTGTTTTGAAATAGGACACAATAAAAACATTGATTGTTAAGCTTTATAAAATTCCATGGGTCCTGATTATTGAGCCTATTCCTTATTCATTTATATTTGTATTCACTGTGGTCAGAAATTGGTGTGAAGTAATGTCGTAATTTAAATATATGAAAATAGCCTAGCTATATATATATTTATAAAATAACTCATCAAATTTTTCCAGGATAATATTGAAATTTAAAACCGAATATTTGATTTTTTAGGAAATGGTTATATGTTCTGTTTCTTTATCACCCTTGATCAAATGTGCTTTGTACCTTGGGCAGTATAATAATAAGAGGGTGGTTATAATGTAAAAGAATTCAAGCAATTCTGTTTAGTCAGAATCAAAAATTTGTAGTTTGTTAGTTAAGCATAAGCAAGGTACTAGAAATATGGACTCAATAAAACCAGGTTTCTTCTCTCCAAGGATTAATTTTCTAGTAATTTTATAGTTTTCCTAATGAAAAGATTCTTTAATCAATATAATACTTGAACACGATGCAAAATAATAAGTTTGATTTTTGTTTCATTATTGATTGTTACAAAGGGAAAGTAAATGCTTAGTAAAATGTTTATCTAGAAGTTTTTGAGATTATCTGGCAGGCATTTATTTCACTCCTTTTTAACATTTCCATTTTCTTTATGTCAAAATAGTGTAATTTTAACATAATGAATTATTTTAGCCATATGTGAACCTAGGAACACCAGTGAATTATCTTTTTTTTTTTTTAATAAAGTTGAAAATGTCCATGGCAGAACACATAGAGTGGCCTGTCCAAAAGATAGTGTTTTAGTTCTTGTGATTCTTATTATCCTTCAGTCACTTCTTCTTTTTGTTTTTTATTGATTTTTTAAAAAAGTAAATGATAGTGGAATGCATTACAATTCTTATTACACATATACAGCACAATTTTTCATATCTGGTTGTATATAAAGTATGTTGACACCCAATTTGTGTCTTCATACATGTACTTTGGATGATGATGTCTATCACATTCCACCATCCTTGCTAATCCTCTGCCCCCTTCCTTTCCCTCCCACCCCTCTATCCTATCTAGAATTCATCTATTCCTCCCATACTCTGCCTCCCTACCCCACTATAAGTCAGCCTCCTTATATCAGAGAAAACATTCTCCATTTGTTTTTTTGAGGGGATTGGCTAACTTCACTTAGCATTATCTTCTCTAACTCCATCCATTTACCTGCAAATGCCATGATTTTTCTCTTTTATTGATGAGTAAAATTCCATTGTGTATATATGCCACATTTTTATTATCCATTCATTTATTGAAGGGCATCTAGGTTGGTTTCACAGTTTATCTATTGTGAACTGTGCTGCTATAAACATTGATGTGGCTGTGTCCCTGTAGTATGCTGATTTTAAGTCTTTTGGGTATAAACCGAGGAAAGGGATAGCTGGGTCAAATGGTGGTTCCATTCTCAGATTTCCAAGGAATCTCCATACTGCTTTCCATATTGGCTATCCCTCAGTCACTTCTGAATCATACTTTTCATCAGGTGAACTATGATGGGGAACTGCACAAGCACCCACAGTTGGAAGCTGACTTATCGGCAGTGAGAGAGATATATGGGCCACATGCAGTTTCTCTCAGGTAAATGAGTGCCTTCAGTGAATAAAAATTAAAATTATTTGGTTATGCATTTGGATTCTCTGTTGGAGTAGTTTACATTTAAGGAATTTTTTGGAGGGATATTATATTTGAATGTTTTTGAGAGATTGTGTGTGTGTGTGTTTTAATTCTGTTTCTATTTATAGAAAATGGCAGATTTATGTATATTTTTGTATGTGTGGTTTAAGATTTCAGTGATTACATTAAAGAAACTAGTTATTTTGGAGATTTAGTTTGAAGAAATAGTAGTCTTACGAAGTGTCAATTAATCACTGAAGTAGGTTTGGTCAGCTGGGTTCATCCTGTTTTATCATAAATCAAGGCCATATTCTTGTGAGCAATAAAAGTAAATAATGCAAAGCCACTGGTAATCAAATCACATTGTGATCTGATCCCTAAAAAAGAAGACATAAATTTGCACAGCTCTTGTTTGAATGGTAATGTATTTTATTCTTCACTTACCTAATAATTGGTGATAAATTTTCAAACCACTTTTTATATAGTCATTCAGAAGATCTCATTGTCCTTATTTACCTTCTTTTTCCTCCTTGTAATATAAGAAAAAGACTTCTCTGGCTTTAAAGTAGCTTCCAGCTGGTATTCTGGTTTCTTGTTCTTTGCCTGTAGTTTAGCCTTTTAAGTCTCCATGGAATTCTATACTCTCCTGGCAGTCTGACCTCAGTTCCCTCCTATCCACCCAAATCACCCAGAGGCCCTTTACTTCCCCACAACTTCAGGCATTTGCAGTTCAGTTCTGTCCTCAAGGGATACTTCCCTTCAAACCCTGTTACTGCCTCTGTTTAAACCCCCATCTGCAGGTCCATTCTCTGAGCCACCTTTAAATGTTTAATGCAGATTAGCTATTTTGCCCTCTGGATTCCCCATATATTTATTTGGCATTTGTCTTATTTATTCTGCTTCTCATGTGTTTTTATGATTAGTTGTCTTCTCTCTCCCTAGATTGAATTCTGTGAATGTTGAAGCAGTACTATTTTCTTGTTTCATTTTGTTTTGCTTTGTTTTTTAAAATCATTCTCCTAATATCGTGCATACCATAGCATGGGTCATACATGAAATACACAATTTATGGTGGATTCTTGACTGTTGTCAGTGGTACCATCTCTGAAAAAGGACAGTTACATTATCTGGTTATAACTCCTTCTGTGGACATATTCATATTTTGAGAGAGTAAACAAATATTTTTAATGGGGACTTAGGACACAGCTATAATTTATAATTGCCAAGTTTATCTTAACTACAGAAAAACTCCATCACCCCCTGCACCCTCAGCAACCTGGGACTGTGCTCAGTCACTCTCTCACTTGGGAAGGCACTGCAATTGAGTGATTATAAAGGCATTATATTTAGAAAAGCAAATCTTTGTAGACTTACAATATTAGCAATTTTTTTTTGTTGAGAGAGAGAATTTTTTAATATTTATTTTTTAGTTTTTGGCGGACACAACATCTCTTATTTGTATGTGGTGCTGAGGATGGAACCCAGCGCCGCACGCATGCCAGGCAAGCGCGCTACCGCTTGAGCCACATCCCCAGCCCCAATATTAGCAAATTATTTCACGGTTGTTTTCTGTTCTGGTTCCAAATTAGTTAATATGGATATTTAGTCAATGTTATAAAATAAATGTATTTGTTAATATGGATATTAGTTTATGGATAGTCAGTCAATGTTATGATATAAAGGTATGAAGAAGGCAGTAAGGACTATTTATAAATAGCCCAAAACAATAGATATTTTTTATAGCAATCAAATTTTTTTGCTTTAAAGTTTAAAACTTTAATTTTAAACACAATAATGTATCCACTGAAGCAAAAGGCTATGAAATATATTTAAGAGACAAAACACAACAACATAAAATAGGATAATCTTAGTACTTATTGACTGCTTTTTATAGTTAAAGGCTTTTCTAAAACACATTTCAGTACTTTATAGGCTTCAGTTAAATTGTTATGTACATAAGAAGCTATTTCTTCACGAAATATTTATTAAGTACTTATGATGAACTGTGTTTGTATTTTATTGTTAACTCTTGAAATTTCAGTCAAATGAAGTACCCAAAGTCATAAATGGTTTTGTTCTTTTCCCTTGCCTATTTTGCTTATAATATTCTTTGATCCAATTTAAATCTTAAAGAATACAAAACATACTCTAGCCTGCTCTAGATTTTCTCTAGCTTCAGAGGATGACTCCAGAATAAATGCTTTCCCAAAGGTCTTGTGGTATAAAGGTGAATTGTAGCAAGACTTGTTTTTATTTATTTAAAATAAATAAACATCCTGTACCTTCAAATGCTGAGACTTGGACTCATGGGGAAAATGGCAGTTAAGCATAAGGTCTTAGAATCATCTTCCTTGCAAAGTTCTTAAGTCTGTTGAAACAGACCGTTCTAATTAACTGTTCTTTCACTTAATTGAGGCTTATAAGAACTTAATGGAGTCTGAAGAACAGAAGTACCTCAATATGCACAATAGGCTGTTTGGTGTCATTTTTTTATGTGACATTTAATGAGAAAGGCAACTAACCACATCTGAGTTCTTTGTGAGAAATGGAAATACAGATTGTCAAGATGGAGGAAAAAATCTCTTAAATACTGGGTAAAAGAAGGTACAGAAATGTGACCCATAATAGATTTTATAGAATCACCCCACAACCCTCATCCCAATGTAGTAGGAGATGCAAATTTTTTGTGTGTTATGCCTCTGAGATTTTTGAAGATGTTTGTTACCACAGCATAACTTAGTCTACATTGGAGGATGTCATTTATCAAAACAAGATCTTGGATCAGATGTTAGTAATACTTTTTCTAGCATATTGCTTCTCCACCTTCTGCCTCTGAGTGTGGTGGGGAAAAAAAAAATAAGTCTGTCACCAAAAATTGGGAAAGCGATGATAGGAGGAGCACAGAGAAAAGAAACCAGTGGAAGAGTATTTTCCAAAGACATGAGAGCATAATCAAGGTGGAGCTTCAGATGCCCAGATCCTGAACACTCATCTCACCAAGGATGTTTAAGCTGACTGCAGAGTGTGGCAGTTATTTATTCAGTACATTTAGACACTATTGTTTTATTTTATGAAGATCAGATTCCCTTCTTGTTTGCATTTAATTTCTAAGTTCTCCTTAGCCCTGTTGTCTTTTAGAGTAATTTATAGCTACCTTGGATGTAGTCTTGCAAATATCCTAATCTTGCCAAGATCTCTTCCGGACTACTGAGTTTGCATATTTCTTGGCCCATTCACAAACATCTTTCCCACACTGGGCAAAAACACACATTGAGTAGGCATGCAGAGATAGACATGCAAGCTGTTGAGTTTCAGATATCATAGGAAGCTGTACGGTTCTTCACAAAATATCTTCTCAAAATATCACTGCCCAATTACTGAAAGTAGAAATAACTAAATAGAAAGAAGCTTATTTCTTAAGAGTCTATGGGGGCTGGGGCTTTAGCTCAGTTGTAGAGTGCTTACCTAGCACGTGTGAGGCCCTAGGTTCGATCCTCAGCACCACACAAAGATAAATAAAATAAAGATATTGTGTCCATCTACAATTACAAAATTTTTTTAAATGTCTATGGTAGAATTTCGTGTGTGTGTCTGCATGTACATATAATTTTCTTGAAAGTTCATAACGAAAAATAGAATAGCAGCATAACCTCAGCTGATTTTGATCAAGTACTGTTATAAAATGCCACAGTAGTATAATGAAAAATCAGAAGAATTATAGAAAAAGGCCAAAGGAAGACCAGATGGTTTAATATTTAATATGAGTGCATATGTGAATCTCATTAATGAGGATATTTCTTGTTTAGTTCCATTAAAAATTAGAGATTGAAATGCTAAGAATTCTGTCTTCAAAAGTACATTTTTATTAATAAAATTACTTAATGTAGTTTTTTCCTTTCTATATTCATTTTTTTGTCTTTCTACATTTTTTTAATTGGTGCATTATAGGATCTGCTGTTATGTATGCTCACAATATAACAATATAATTTGAACAATTATCACTCCCAACACTTTCCTACTCGCTTCCACCTCCCATCTCCTGGTGCCTTCCTCTACTTGATCTCCCTGTGATTTTCATGAGATCCCTGTCTCTCCATCTTTCTTTTCCTCTCTAGCTTCCATATATGAGAGAAGACATATGGACCCTGACCTTCTCTGAATTTGACTTATTTTGCTTAACATAATGGTCTCTAGTTCCATCCATTTTCCTTATGTACATGTTCTTAATATCCTGTAAATATCATGTAAATATCCTGAATCAAATGTCTAGATTTCAAGATGTGTAGACGTTAGAATTAGCTCACCCTGAATTGAAAGTCTTGCTAAGTATCAGTAGAGGTCATTTATGTAAGTTTTTTCCAGATCCTCTGTTTCATAGTGAAATAATTGCCTCGGATCATTTCTGTGTTGCTTTCCTCATTTTAAGGGAAAAAAGTCATTTAATTTGACATGATCTTTTCATGGTGTATACAGGCAGTGCATGAAATTATTTTGAGCTATTATAATCCTGAAAGTGCAATTAGAACATAGCCCAAATTCAAGTTGGATTAATATATAAAGCTTCTACCTTCATTCTCTGCATTTGCTATTCATGAGATCCTGGGGGTACTGAAAGGTATTCAGTTATAGAAGTGATCCTGATCACTGGGTCCCTGAGTCTGGACAAACCATAATCACACTTCATAATCTCACAGTGGGAAACATGAAATTACTCGCATTATACAGAAAGGGCATCACAACTGAAATGGATTTGCAGTTATGTAGCATCTTTTGTGAATTCTTTGAAGCATGGCATAAAATTTAAGAAATGCCTATTTACAGGTCTATATCTGCAGGGTCCAGCTAATTGCAAACCTTCAGGACTTCTACCTTAAATTCCGTATTCACATTCTGCTGTGGTGAAGAACATTTTTGACTTATATCCATTGTACCCCTTCCCTGTGTGTGTGTGTATATTTATGATACTGGGGATTGTACCCAGGATTGTTTCATCACAGAACCTGTTCATTCCCAGTCCTTTTCATTTTTTATTTTGAGACAAGGTCTCGATAAATTGTAGAAGCTGGCCCTAGAATTTCAAAACATTAGATACTTTCAGATATTGGGAAAAAAACTTTAAACCAAAACTAAAAAAAAAAAAAGAAAAAAAAGAAACCATACACAAAATACTTTAAAATACAGTTAAAAGTTTTAAAATAAGGTCAGTCAGATTGTGGCCATACCTTTATGGTGAATTCTGTTAACATGATCTGGAAAAGTGTAAGGAGAATTCATTGTGGATAAAATTCTTCCTGTTTTTTGTTATCTCTGATTCCTTCTTTTGTGTCTCTAAACATAACCAAAGTCTTGCCAATGTAAATAAATTCATATAAAAGTTATTTACCCAATGAAACTGGCAAAGATGAGAGAAAGGAAACCTGATCATGAGGATGTCAGAAATGGTCACTGTGAAAACCTGGCTAGTGTAATGCACAGTGGCATCCATCGCTTTTTAGAAATGATCCTGCAACATAGATCAAGAAGGGCAAATACATTGGAGGTAATAATTTTTGTATCAACTTCCTTTTAGCAATGGATATTTTTAAAAGTTTCCTCAACAAGCTAAATGTTAACTATTATTCTTGAATATTCAGTTGAATTGTTTCCAATTTCTGCTGCTGCAGAGGTTGATGGTCTTGTTTACTGCTGTTTTCTTAGGATTAATTCGTGTAGTTGTAGTCCTGTAGTTGTATCCCTGTGAAACTTCTCTTGAACATTGCTATTTTTCCTTATCATTGCTCTTTTTACATGATTAACAATGGATATTGATCTGTTATATTTACAGTCTGTTTGCTTTTATTCAGGGTTATTATATTAACACCTCGGGACTGTGAGGCCTGTTTTAATCTATGAATGGGTTTTGCTTTTTTTAATGGTATTGGGGCACTTGACCACTGAGCCACATCCCCAGCCTTATTTTGGATTTTATTTAGAGACAGGGTCTCACTGAGTTGCTTAGAGCCTTGCTTTTGCTCAGGCTGTTTTGGAACTCGCAATACTCTTCCTCAGCCTCCTGAGCCGGTGGGATTACAGGCTTGCGCCAGCACTCCAGGTAGGTTTTGTTTTTTTAAAGTGCTACAAAAAGAGAGAGGAAGAGAAACAAAAGTGAAGAGGACTATGCCATGGAGACTATAAATATAGCCTGAAAGCCTAAAATATTTACCCTTTCTGTGGTTCATTTACTTGGTCCTGCTCTTATACTTCTGTATAATTGTAACAAAATTAAATTTGCAATTACCTTATCCTTTATGTAAAGCACAGATGTTTTGTTGCTATGGTGTTTTTTTTAAATTAAACACCTATGTAAACAATTTTACTTTTTTTCTTTATGTAATGTTTTAATATAATTTTGAAGTCTAAAATGCAGAAAGCCAGTTTCAAGTTGTTACATTCTCATATACTGCCCCCTTTTTTTGTCACAGATAACTGAAAATGAAATGATATCCCTGATTCCTTTATTTATCATACTATATTAAACTGTTAAAATCATTAAAATTTCCTACTCTGAACCATACAAAAATAACAGTATGTATTGTTCTTATATTACTTGCTTATATAATACACAACATTTTTTTAGTATTTCATGTGCCAGATACTTTTCTGTACATAGTTTTTTTCCCCTAATTTTTAAAAAATTTTAGTTGTTGATGAATCTTTATCTTATTTATTTACAAGCCCTTTACACAGTTTTGAAGTTGGATGTGGATGGATTTGACTTCCCCAGTGACTCATGTTACATTTGACAAGTTTTTTTTCTTACTTCCCTGGCCTCAGTTTTCTTTTCATGCAAAATGAGTGTATTATCCATTTCACAAGGCTATAATGAGGACCTTATATGAAATTATCTGTCAATGATTAACCTGTTTTCTAATCAAAGGGTTAGTTTCTCAGATATTGATTCAATTTACTGGTTGCATAAATACCTAGAATACACGTGTTCAAGTCCCTGCTCTACCAAGCAGTGGTGAATAAGTTAGTTTATGCACATATAAACTGGAGGTAACAATGGTACCAGTAATCTTTTAAAATATATTTTTAGTTGTAGATGGACACAATACCTTTATTTTATTTATTTTTATGTGGTGCTGAAGAAAGAGCCTAGGGCCTCACACATTCCAGGCAAGTGCTCTACCACTGAGCTACAACCCCAGCCCACCAGTAATGTTTTGTGAATGTTAAATAATCACATATATATTAAATCCTTAGAACAATTTCTGATAAATAAATATTGGCCATTAACTCTTTTTGGTGATTTCTGTAGTCTTAACTCTTGCTATCTATACTATTTGTAATTGTAGAATTTTATGAGTAACGAAAACATTGTATTGTGTGTGTGTGTGTGTGTGTGTGTGTGTGTGTGTAGAATTTTAAAAATGTTATTTTTCTTTCATTAACTTACAAAAATATGCTGTTTTGTGGCACTACCTGAGCAGTATAAAGTTGGTCTTCATAATGCCTTCTTACTTGTTCCAATTCTGATGTGTCAGACTCTTAGAGCTGCCTATCCAAACACAGTGACATTTAAACAGCAGAAGAATCTGGATTTGTTTTTGAACCACCACTGTCCCGCACATGTCTTCCTTTTGTTTCTTCCTTGTGTTAGAAACTCCTTTCTTGCCTTTAGAATCAACTATTAATTTTCAGTGTGTAATAAAACCTGGGAAGATTGACAAATTTGGGAACAGGGAATGTTTGAAAGTATGAAGCAAGCCACCCTTGAATTTATGTATGCGTATGCATGTACACAAAAATGGAAAGATGTCTCTGTGGAATAAGTAGGTCACAGAACATGACAGCTCAACTAGATGGAGTTAGTTAATTCATGTCCATGGCCAGTTCTGAGTTATCAGTGGAAATCAGGGATCACAATTAGTGTTTGAATTTTTAATTAAAATAACTTAGCACACAGTCTTTTAAGGAATTAAAAAAATTAATGTTAATCTTTGCTTTCAGGGAATATGGAGCCATTGATGATGTAGATATTGATCTGCATATCGATGTTAGCTTTCTCGATGTAAGTATCAATTTTTACAGTATGTCTGGTACATTTATTTTTACTCTAGGGGAGAATTTTAATTTTTGTCTATAATACAATTAATTACATAATGACTTTGCTACAGTGATTTGTGAAGGACTGCTATGACTGATTAAAGAAGCCGATTTTATAAGTTTTTTTTCTTTGGCAATGATTCTTTTAATATATTCTGAATCTCATGGTTTTTATTATAATATTTCATGATAAGTTTTCACTTTTACTTTTCATGTTTTACAGCAAAACTTTACTTTGACCTTCTTTTCCCATGAATGGGTCTTGAGATAATTTGTAAACATTCATGATTTAGGCAATTTTAAAATACAAGTTTTTAAAGCTTTTACTTTTTTTCCCATTTTGAACTCTTAATAGATGACTGATTCATCCTTTGAGTATATTTTTGCAGGAGGAGATTGCTGTGGCTTGGGAAGTCATTCGAACAGAGCCTATAATTGTCCGACTACACTGTTCACTTACACAGTATTTAAATGGCCCAGGTTAGTTTCATTTCTCTATTACTTTGAATGTCACATTGTTTTAAGTGAAATGAGTATTCATTTGGTGATTCATTTGGTTAAATACCTTGGTAATGTTATTTAAATTAGTAGCTTAAGATTGCTCATTGCCAATATGACTTGTGAAAACAGAAATATGTAACATTTAGTTGTGCAGATTTTTTAGTAATTGACATTGCTGTGCAACAAACACAATAAAATCTAAGAGAGTATGTTAAATGTAGTAGAAACTGAGTAGTTATATTCTAGGTTAATCTTAGATTTAATTCTCTTCCTGATTTGAGATTTAATTTTAATCTTTATTCCACCTTTGATTACCAGTGAATATACCCTTTCTAATAAGGTATTCCTTTTTGAAGAGGGAATTATAATAGTACTTTTGTTTTTGGAATCCTCAGTGGATGATGTTAGTATATTTTAACAGATAGCTGTTTACAGCAAGGTACCCTAGCGCACTGGGAAACATGTCTTCTAGTCTACTAATGTGTGTGTGTGTACATGTGCACACAACACGTAATTGTATCCACCGACATTAGTCCATTTATCTACTGCCGCAAAACAGACCACTCCAAAACTTGGCTTCAGTATATAATGTCTCTGGCTGTTGCATGGGCCCACCTGGGCAGGTCTTGTCTGGAGGCTTCCGTGACTTTGTAGTAGGGTGGTGGGTGGGGCTGGGGCTGGTGGCAATTAAGGGCCTTCTTGCTGGGAGGCAGAAGATGCTGGATGTCAAAATGACTAGTGGTTGGTCCAAAAGTGTCATCCTGGCTCTGAGCTGGTATTATTGACTAGAGTGCTTGTCATATATGTGATTGCTTCATGTGGTGTGGCCTTGTGCTACCACAGTGACTGAAATCCAAAAGCAAGTTTTTCAACATAGGAGATGTGGAAGCTCCTGGGGAAAAGCACATTGAATCTCCCATTGTATTTTGTTCATCAAAGCAGTCCAAAGAGGCCACCAAAAATCGAAGGGAAGTGTACATGGCACCTCTTGAAGTTGTGGCTGTCTTTAACCTGCCACATATATGCTAATATGGTACCTGCAGTTTTTTTTTTTTTTTTTTTTTAAGGCACATCAAGGAACATATATCTACTTTTTGTAATGTTCCCCACCTCCTTCTTCTTTCTTCTTTCTCTGATTAGAACTGGGGACCTTTCCCAGGAGCACTCTACCACTGAGCTACATCTTCCTGCACTTTATAGTTTTTATTTTGAGATAGGGTGTGGATTAGTTGTTCAGGGCCTTGCCAGTTTGCTACATCTGGCCTGAAACTTGAATTCCTCCTGCCTCAGTCTCCCGGTCTTAGGGATTGCAGGCACACACAACCATGTTTGCCCCACTCTTCGTTTTTTACAAAAGAAAAGTACTTATTCTTTTTAAATTTATGAAAGACAGGAAAACCTTTGTTTTGAAAGTTGGTATCTGTTCTGTTTCTGTATGATGCATTCTATCTAAATGACTCAATATAAATTGACATATAGTAACTGATGTGGTTTAATGCTAGATGTGAAAAAATAAATGCTAGTATTTTATTCTTCGTTCAAATATATTAAAATGCAGTAATGAAAAAAAGATTTCTCAAAATCCCTCCATACTAAGAAAAATATAAATAATTGGTGTTTTTTTCCCTCTGTGCATGTATCGCTTATTCTTGTTAACAGGCATGCACCTTAATGTTATGTCATGTTCCCAAGTCATTTAATATTCTATAAACACCTGAGTTGTAGTGTCCACACAATATTTCAGCCTGAATACGCATAAGGTTGTTTTTTCTTTTCCTTTTTTTTTTTTTTTTTGTACTGGGGATTGATCCCATGGGTGCTTAACCATTGAACCACATTCTCAAGCCCTTTATATTTTATTTAGAAACAGGGTCTTTCTGAGTTGCATAAGGCCTTGCTAAGTTGCTGAGGCTGACTTTGAACTCAGTCTTCCTGCCTCGGCCTCCTGAGTTGCTGGGATTGCAGGCATATGCCACTCTGCCTGGATGGTATTTGGATTTTGGATGTTTCTACATATTTTCTGCCATGTGGTACTTTAGTGATTTACGATGTGCTCATTTTACTTTCATGGTGGTTAAAATCTTTCATGTTGGGGTCTAGCACTGTAGTTCAGTGGCAGAGCAATTGTCTAGCATGTGTGAAACACCAGGTTCAATCCTTAGCACTGCATAAAAATAAATAAATAAAATAATTTTAAAAAGAATTGCTATTAAAAAAAAAAGTTGTCTCAACTTTTTATCTTCCATTTAGAATTATAAATGAAATCCAGTCAATCTCTACTCATGCAATTGTATGAGCAGAGATTGACTGGATCTGTGTACATGTATGATGAAAATGTCACTTTTATGTAACCTTACCATTTATTTTATTTACATAATCTTGAATTTTAGAGGTTCTACTTCACCATATCACTTCCATAGTTTTACAAGCATTTTAGCAATCACTTGAATTCATATTTAATTGTTTTGATTATTTAACACTACTTTTTTAGTATCATAAAATATCCATCCTTTTTTTTTATATCCTGATTTACTTATATATTGAGCAATTTGTAAATTAAGGAAACCTGAGAGTTTGTTTTTTCATGCCTCACATTTTTGTTTTGTGAGACGAACTTTACCAAGTATAATTTGTGGTTCCTCCCAAAAAGGGGAAAAATGCTTTAGAAACATCTATGGTTTGTTCATGTTTTCATGTGTATTTGGACTATTTTCTTTTATCTCATACATATTTATTTTTGCATGGCATGCATATGTCTTAATTCATTTCAAAAAACTTTTTTTGTAATTATTTATTGTTCCTTCTTTACTTGCTAGTCCTAAAATATGTATGTTGCAAGTAGTACTATTAATAATTACTCAGAAGTGGATTGTCTTTAAATGCAAACTTATATTTGATCACACAATTAATGCAAAAAGTGTTGGATGTGTGGGACCACCCCAACCAGCATTCAATGCACACTAATTAACACAATAAACAGATAAACAATTCTAGGGCAAACACGAGCCCCCCAAAACCTCTGATGCCGTGTGACTTTTCTTAGCCAAAGAACAGACATTGTCCTTCTCTGGTGTTTCTCTCCAGCCAATGGCTGGAAGTCAGGGAATAGTGGAGTCAATCTAGGAACAGATATCAAGGCAGCTAGTCTCACTGATGTCCTTGGAGAAAACTCTTCAATGTGGCAGGACAAACAATTTAAATGCAATTCCAAGTTCGTGTTGTATGGTGGTGATTGGTTACACCTAGTGAAAGTCAGTGTCCATTGGTTATGTCCAGTGAGGTGATTTTCTTTGTTCATGTCCATGGAGCTGTGCTCCCTACTGATTGTAACCAGTCATTGCTGAGCACGTCTATGGCTAGTGCCCCTTACACCTCTTTATCAATTGCAAGCAGTTCAATGGCTGCTGTTTCTTATGGCCACCAACTTACTGAGTCCCAGCATGTCCCAGTATGTCCATGGCAGATACTCCTTACAATGTAGATTGGTTCTAATATCTTGGACTTCCATGTTGTTTATCATTTCTTTCATTTCTTCATCCTTTTTGTCTGAGTACTTCATAAGTTTTCTTGAAGTCTATTTTTTACTTCACCAAGTAATTTATTTACATGATTCAGTATTTTTTAAATGTTTTTATTTTCTTCTTTTAAACTATTTTTTAAAATTGTAGATGAACACTTATTTGATGTATTTATATTCGAGGCTGAAGATCGAACCCAGGGCCTCATACATGCTAGGCAAGCGTTCCACCACTGAGCCATGACCCCAGCCACATGATTCAGTCTTGAATTTAATGTTTACATTGTTTTTAATTTGGTCAGTTTCTGCTCATTCTACTTAATGCCCTTTTTATCATTAATTGCTTTCATTTTATTTATTTAATCATTTTGAATATTTTGAATATTAATCAATAATTGTCTAAAATTTATCATATTATTCATATAGAATGGTAATTTGTTCTCCAGTTCAAGTACACTTTTTTCAGAAATTAATGTGTTTTGTGTATGGCATTTTTTCTGTTGACAAGAAGAAATTGAACTTTCTTGTATTCATATATGAATACACAACCAGTGAAACTCCCCTTCATGTACAATCACAAGAATGGGATCCTAATTAGAATAAGTTATACTCCATGTATATATAATAGTCAAAATGTTCTCTACTGTCATATATATAGAAATACAGTAAAAATTTTAAAAAAAGGAGGAAATTGAAAGAATTCTACTCTTAGTCTACATTAGATTCAGTAGTTCTGAGATCTGACAGCTAGTGGGGGTGGACAGGGAACACCTGTGCCCTGGCTCCCTAAGACACCTTTTTATAGCCCTGTGCACCTATCCTCCAGCCCTGTATATCTTGCTGCTAACGGCTCATTTTTTTCTGTAAAATATCTGTAATCACTCATCCTTGGAAGGAGAGATATGGGCTTGGTAGTTCTCTTTCTTCTTCCCACTTTTTTGGTGTGAACCCCAGTGGGAGTACAGTGGCCTGTCTACTTGGCCTGGAAGCTAGACAAACTTTGATGTGTAATTTGTGCTTCATTGTTATGCACAGGATAGTTGAAGCTGGGACTTTACCTTAGTTTGTACTCTTGCTGAACTTTCCCTCTTTGTTCTCCTTGAGTTCCTCATGTCCCTTTATTGGTTTCTTTTTTTTTTCTTTTTTTTTTTAAATTTTTTTTATTGGTTGTTCACAACATTACAAAGCTCTTGATATTGGTTTCTTCTGAGAGCAGTTTTAAGACATTGGATCAATTGACAGGACAGGGGTCAATATCTGTTGAAGGAAGCCCTGTCAGGCCCGCTGTTTGCTCCCTAGACAGCCATCCCCCAAGGAAACTCCCTGGAGCATGTTCTGTGTCGTGGTTCATTTGCCCTCTTAATTTTGAGATATGTTGGTGGTCGTTTGCCATTAACTTCCTCTTCTATGGAGTAGGGAGTTTAGGACCAGCCATTTAATGTCCTTGAAGATTGGTTCCATCTGCTCTCTTTGTAGTGAAATTTGTTGTCAGTTTCATGCATGGAATGGAATTATTCCAAATTTCTGGTCTTTTTGGTGGTTTTCTCCACTTTTTTTTTTTTTTTAATGCACTAGTTAAATTGGAGCTTGTTCGCAGTATTTACTTACATCCATCTCGCTAGTAAATACCTTAAAAGGTTATTTTTTTTACTTGTTGATAATTTGAGGGAAAAGGCATGATTAAAAATGGTCAGTAATGCGTAATATAGGAGTACATTTATAGATAATGTTACTGAAAAGGAACATATAATTTATTACTCCAGAAGAAATAGTCAGGTTTTATCATAGTTTATAATTTTGATTATTGTAAGCAAATAAAAAGGACTGTTTTGCAATGTGCCTTTGAAGGTATTAGCATTTATAGTAAAATAAACTTGTAAAACATGTGTGACTAATCCAAGATCCAGATTGACCTTAACAGTTGTTTTTGAAAATCACTTATTCCTGCATTTTGGAAATGTGTGTATGAATAGCATTGATTTGAACTATAGTACATGGTTAGGGCTAATAAGACAATATATGTGAAAGACGAAGAAAGAGAATTGGAGAAATGCATGTCTTTTTCCACTTTGAAATAAATGATTTTTTATTATATATAGGGAAATATACTTTAAGCAAAGATATGATTTGTTATGATTTTTGTGATACAATATATATCTATAAATGTATATGTGTATATTTCAGAATTGCTGATGTGTAAGTCCAGTTTCAGGTCTAAAGAATAAGCCTGCTTTAACTTTAACTGTATGTGTAACTGTATGTTTAACTGTCCTGTATGTTTAGGAAGGGACTGCTTAGGTCATTCATTTTCAGTTTGTTCCCTAGTACTTGTTTTCCTCCAGACTTTTTTAGTCCAGTGTATTTCCCAGTTATCATTACTGGTTTTTAGGTAACTCTTAATTTTAAAAAAGATTGTTAAAATTATCTTTTTAAGTATACACAAAGATAGTGTCCATTTTTCTTTTTCATTCTGTCTTTCTCTGATGTAGTTAATTATAGTTAATTGCATTAATTTTACTAGCAATATGCATTTTATCACTTGAGCTTCAAATTTTGGGGGGAAGGGTACCAGGGATTGAACTCAGGCACTCAATCACTGAGCCATATCCCCAGCCCTATTTTGTATTTTATTTAGAGTCAAGGTCTCACTGAGGTGCTTAGTGCCTCGATTTTGCTGAGGTTGGCTTTGAACCCTCATCCTCCTGCCTCAGCCTCCCGAGCTGCTGGGATTATAGGCATGCGCCACCACACCTGGCATAATATTTTATTCTTACTAACTGAGTAATGTATGTCCCAGAAAATTTTATCATTTTGACCAAATAGTGATACTTATTTTCTAGTCTTTCATGCATATTATGATTAAATTTTATTGTCTATTTACTAATTTGTTGGAATAATTAATGTATTCTGCATAAAATACTTGCGTCTGTTATTATCCCTTTTCTATCTCAAACAATTTTCAGTGACAGTTTGAGTGCTTCTAGCATGTTTTGGAGTTTCCTAACTTTTTCAAGTTAGTTTTCCTTCCTTCTTTTCTCAGTCACTTCTTCTTTTGTGAAAAGATTGTGTCTTCTTAAAATTTATAGGGAGAGTACAATGTGGTCATATTTTGTGAATTTTCAATTGGATTAGAGTTTTGAATTTCAATAACCCTGCATTTGGAGCAGTGGTTTGGAATGATGTCTACTTTATTCACCACTCCTTATATAAGATTTAGACTATTCTTAGGAAAGAAAAAACTATTGCTTAGTAATAGTGAGACAACATTTTCTCTGATTAATGCTGTGTTTGCATTGAAGAGTACTGGCCAACAGAGGGAGCGAGGCATTTTGCAGATGCCATTTTGATTTCGGTGTGAATTTTTTTTTTTTTTTAATCCCTGTCCCAACCCTTACAGTGATTGGCACTGTTAGAGCACCCATTTCATGTCATCCTTTTGTTTGTGTACTGCTTCCACCCCTTGCACCATTCCAGCAATTCTCATTTTGTTTCCTGTGCTACTCATATCTTTTTTCACCTAGAAGAATCCTACTGTCAAATAAATTTCTTTCACCTTAAAACAGAACCCACTTGCACTGAAATCCTTCTTCAGTTGGTACCCTACTGCTGTTTCTCTTGGCTATTATAGTTTCATCATAGTTGTCTCTGTTAGGTAACTTCATTTCCATGTCTTTTTTCTTCCCTCAACTCCAATCAGATGACATTTTTTGTTACCACCATTTTACAAATGCTGCTTGTGTCATTGTATCCAGAGACTTCAGTATTGCTAAATGGCCCCATCACCAGTTGTAAGTCTTTGTTGTAATTGAGTAGTATTTGTTAATGGTTGCTCACCCAGTCCTTGACAAGCTTTTCTGAATTTGTGTTCAGAGCAGCAGCACTCTGGAGTTTTCTATTCTAATGTCCCTTTCTCTGCAGCTTTTTTTTTTTTTTTGCTGGGCCTCTGCATGCTCCTGGATGCAGAGGTTGCTCCTCAGACTTATCTCCATCTAAATTCAATGAGTAGCTTCTCCTCTAGCATCATGTCTTTTTAAATACCTTTATACTCTGGCTATTTTGAGTTTGGTTTTTGTTTTTTAGTGTATTTCATTCACCGGAGTGCCTAAATGCTGGCCTTTACTGTCCAGTTGCCTTTGTTTCCACTTTAGTGTAAAAAGCATCTCAAACTTAAAATGTTTAAGATCAAATAACCAAATTTATCACCTCTTGAAATTTGTTCCACCTGCAGTTTTTCATATACCAGGAATTTGTAAATTTCATCCTGCTCAGAATCTTTGCTTTTGCCATTGACTCCTCTGTTTCCCACATCTAAAATCTAACCCAGTGAAATCTGCCTTAGAAAGTATGAATCCAAAGTGTTCATCCTCTCCACTGATCCAAACCACCATGGCTCTTGTCTCTGCAGTAAGTTCTTGAGCCGTTTTTCTACTTCTTTTGCCCTTTGATTAAGAGATCCCAAAGATCTCTATCCATAGTCCTCTGCCTCCATCTCCTAAAATGCTATTTGTCCATTCCTGTCTCTATGCAGATCTCCAGTTGTGTCTGTTTTCTTATGCATTTTTTGTCTGTCTCCTCCCACTACTGCATTGCAGGCTTTCCCAGGGTAGGATACACGAACACTCTTTTATTCTTTCATCTATTGTTACTGATAAATATTCAGAACCAGTGAATAATAATCATTGAGAAAACTTTTTTTGAGTAGAGTTGCTAATTTCAAGAAATAGCTATTTATAAAGAAATATGGTAAAAATATGAGTCATATGAGATGCTATAAAATAAAAAATAAGTCTCATACTTTGGCCTCCTCTCATTGTTTTTTTCTAAAAGAACATTGTATGTCTATGCAAACAATGAATTATGAATTTGTACACTAACTGTTCTATGTTTCTACTTAAGCTATTATTTTAGAGATTATTTTCCATAGTTGCACATGATATACATCCATGTACATTTATATTAATAATGGTCCAAAATGATCTCATATGCATATATACATATACATATGTATGCACACATATACATAATGTAAATAGCAATATATAGAACTGCATGCATACTATTTTTACCTTCATGTATATGCTTGCATATCCTGGCTAATGATTGAGTTTTAATTCAGAACTTGACTGTCATTTTTTTTTTTTTTCTTTCTAGTGCCCACTGTTGATGTTTTTCAGATTTCCACAAAAGAGCGATTTGGATTGGGACATCAGCTAAAAAAGTAAGTCTGCAAAAGAATAATAATAAAAAGGAATTTCTATTCAAGAGATTTCTCATGTTGTTCATTTTCAGCATTTTACTCAGTAATATCTATTTGAAATGAGTACTTTAGGAGAGGAAATCATCCTGATGCTAAGTGTTGCTTCCATAGTTTTGTTAGCACAGCTCTCAGTCAGTCCAGGCCTATCTGTTTGCCAGCCCAGATCCACTATGTTCCTTCCAGTATCTTGCAGTTTATAACCAGAAAGGCTGGCCCATGTAGACACAGAGTCTGGTGGTGTATTTAACTGCACCAACAAAGGGAGAAAGGAGCCTGAGGTGGGAATGTTTACTGCCCTGGTTTCTTCCCCAGACAGTCACCTTGAGCTGACTAGGTTTTCAACAGCAGCTTCCTGTTTGGCTCCAGGATGCAGCATTTGCATGACTGTCCCTTACCAGGTCTGTTGGTTGTTTTCACTGCCATCTTCTTGGGACTTGGAGGAGTAATAGAAAAACAGTCTCTGGCCCTGGATACTGTACTAATCCTTTCCCAATCTTTTCCCTTATCTTCAGCTGTGAAACATTCCTTTTGAAACTAAGCTCTTTATTTCCCAGTTGAATCTTGACTAGTACAGTGACAGTTTATATTTTATAAATTAATTTGGTTATTCAATAGTATAAGATGTATGTAGTTAATTTGCATAGACATTCTTGAATATGTTCTTATTAGTACACATACCCTTCCGTTTATATAGTCAATAGGATTTTGACACAGATCTGAAATAGAAATAAATGGGAGTAGGATTTGAGCACCAGGAAAAGATGAATGAAGCTCTTGTGTTTGATCTCATAAAATCTCATTGAGGCTTAATGATAATTTTTTCATCGTTTAACACTAATTCGGTTTTGTTTTCTGATTTTTATGTCTAATTTTAAAATTAAAACTCTTAAATAAAACAACAACAAATAAAACCCCAACTCTGATACAGCCCAAAGCAAGAACAGAAAGAGTTATGTCTTTGAGCAGAACCATAGTGGTAAATTAACAGACACAAGAACTGGTTTTCCTAAAGTGGAGTGATTATTGGTATGAGCTGAGGCAGAGGCCTATGGACCTGTCAGTTTATGCTTTTGCTTGCTATGGTTTCCCCTGAAGGTAATAATGATGCTGTCCTTGTGCTCCCCTTTGTTGAACTTCCACAGGGGAAAATGTGGCTTCTTCCTCAGACAGTCTTGATGAGCCAGCCTTTCTTAAGAGGACGTGAAATACCCGTGTTGAACTGAGGGCATTTTTATTGTATTTATTAACTTTCAATTTTTAAAAAGTTGACAGGTAACACTATTTATTTACAACATGAAGTAAATGTACACATTATGATGGTTAAATCTAAATACTTCACAATGCATTTGCATTTTTCTAGAATGATTTTTAATTACCTTTATTAACATTTGTAAACATGAAAACTATACATATTAATAGAGTATGTGATGTTTTGATATGTACATATTATATAATATGAAACAGTTATGTCTTAATGGCAAAACATTCAAAATTTTTTCATGTAGTTTTTTTTAATATATATTTTTAGTTGTCAATGGACTTACTTATTTGTTTATTTATATACAGTGCTGAGGATTGGTCCCAGGGCCTCACACATGCTAGGCAAGCATTCTACCACTGAGCCATCACTCCAGCCCCTCTTGTAGACTTTTTGAAATATATAGTACACAAATGTTGTTTGTAGTTACCCTGTTTCACAGTTGCACACTAGAACTTCTTATTCTTACTTAATTCTAACTTAGAGCTGTTGACCAACCCTACCCATCCCCACTTTCCAACTCTCCTAGCCTCTGCTAACCACCATCTGCTCTCAAAATTTCTGAGATCAACAGTTTTAGTCTACTTGTCTTTCTATGCCTGCCTTATTTCACTTCATATAATGATCTCCAGTTTTATGCATGATGTTGTAATTGACATGATGTTATTATATTTTTTAAAAGACAGAATAGTTTTCCTTTGTCTGTATAGACCACATTTAAAGGGGGCTGGAGGAAACTCCTGTAAATCCCCATTGCTGAGTTTAAATATGTACAAGTATAGAATTAGATAGCAAATCCTTAATGTTTAGAAGTCTGCATCTCTGAAACTAAAGTCAATTTACAATGTATTTCAGCACATTATATTATGCAGTATTCTCTTATAAGGACTTACAGGAGACATTCTCAGTTTTCTATTCTAGGATTAGGTATGATTTTCCAATCCCATTGGTTTTGTTGGATCAGTTGGATTTTGTTTTCTGCTATTGAGTCCATGTTCCACATGTCTTGGAGTGTTCATGGAACCTGCCCCACATGAGGAGGTGCCACACACTTTGGCACAGTTTTTTTCTCTTTCTGTGATTTTTCTCCTCAAATTCCCTCCCTTGTTTTTATGCTATTCTATTTTACCTGCTTTTCTCTAATGTGCTTTTCTAATACAAAAGAACTTTACTTTTTGTTAAAAGTAAAATGAAGGTGACCAAAGAAAGAATTATAAAAGCCCAAAGGTCCAGGAATAAATGACTCTCTCCCCTTCATGACTTCTGAGTACATCAGATGGGCTCAGAAAAAGAAGTTGTGGATATAATACAACTTTTTTTTTTTTTAAAGAGAGAGAGAGAGAGAAGAGAGAGAATTTTTTAATATTTATTTTTCAGTGAACACACATCTTTATTTTATTTTTATGTGGTGCTGAGGAGTGAACACAGTGCCCCGTGCATGCCGCTTGAGCCACATCCCCAGCCCCCATAATACAACTTTTAACAACCAGGTAGAATAGGTACTAGGTTTTATTAATGTTCCCATTTAAATAATTATTTGATAAATTTGCTTTATTTTTTAAAGATTGATTTTAGGTTGAAATTTGATATTATAAATCATGTTTAGTCTGACACAAGTTTAAGTTTCCTTAACTGGGTTTTCAACTTAAATGCCAATCAAAGCCACACACTCAACATTTAAATTCATGTTGTTAATTCAATATGATGGATATTGCTTTGTTGAAATTCATCTCTCATGAGGATAGTACTGACTGCTCTTAAACACAGGTTTTTTGACTTCAGCATGATGTTGCCCAAGTGTACTTACTTTTTTCCTGGGACCTATGTTCCCAAAGCAGGTCATAATGTTACTGCTGTTTACCGATGACGAGTTCTGCTTCCCCACATGTTGAAGTTTGAACATTACAGAAGCACGCTGAGGCAAGCATATGAAGCAGGGTTTATTTAAAAAGGGGTAACACAGACTTCTCCCATGAGGGAGAAGGGGGCACAGCTGGTAACATGGTATCCCCAGAAGCGAGGTGTTCTGCCCTTTTTATATGTCCTAGGCTTCCTTTGTTCTCCTGCTTCTCCTCCTGCTTATCTTTCTTCTTCCTGTGTATATGACTAGGACCAGGAACTGCATGGTGGGAAGGTCAAAAGGTGGGAAACAGGTGGGCTGAAGGGGGAAGGGCAGGATGGAGTAGACAAGGACACATTAACAACCTTATGGTTCCCTGTAGGGAAGGGAAGTTCTTGGGACAGGTTACCTTGTCAACAGGTTGGAGCAGGGGCAGGTTCTTGATAAAATCTCTCAGGGGACAGTCTCCAACTTCCTAGACTCACTCAAAATTGTCCTCCTAGATTCGTCCTGACTCAATTTACCTATCTACACTGACTGCCTGTCTAATTCTGGCTTCAATAACATTGCTTGTCACCTTATTCAAATGTATGCTTTACCTTGAAATGGTTTTTCTCTTTTATCATCAGCACCTGGCGACTGTAGAAATTCTTGTGCCAGCACATTAGTAAACCCAGACTCAGTTGTGGATACTTAGATCTTTTAGTGGTTCTCTATGTGAGAAGGTGGTCATTATGCCAAGTGGGTTTATAGATATACTTCTTGTTACCACTGTCGTTAAGTGACTTCTAACAAACAGTTCATTTCTGTTGCATCCCAGAAAAACTAGGAATTTGAATTCCCGGTGTGCATCAAATTAAAAAAAAAAATTCTGATTTTAGGTCTTAGAGTCGCCCATCATCATGCTAAAGTAACATGAAAATAAGAAAATTTTAGCCATTTTATCCTGTTTAGTTTTGTTAGGAAGCACTTCCTGGCATTCTTACAGAATGGTGCATAAGGACAGGGATTATTTTATAGGAGGAAAACAATCTACATCTGCTTGGTACAAAGGCTATTGTCGTTGGAGAGTTTTTGTTCTTTACAGGGAGAAATGATCCTAATGATGCTATTACACTTAAGTCCTGCTGAAATTTTGGGTGGAAAAAACTTGAAGTCTAGAATAAAATTTCCCCTTTTTCTTGAACTCTAAAGGCAAATTTTCTGCGAATTTGTCATTAAGTTATCATTCCTTGCAGTTTTACTTTTTCTCACCACTTATACTACTTGAGGACCCAGAATAATTCCATGTGTGTTTTCATTTCCTTGAAGAAAATTAAAGAAGGAAATTAAGTAAAAGAAATTGGCTTTACTTAATCAGATTTTTTTTCCACTTAAGCTAAAGTTGTTGATCCTGAAGACTGTTCCCATTTTTTATTTATTCTTCCATCAGCCAATCAGTCATTTGGATTGTTAAATCATAGCAATAATATAATTTAATTGTTTTAATAATGAGTAATTATTGTCAATTATTATGGTATAGTCACAGTATCATCCTGGTAATTTGCTATATAATTCTTTCATATATATGAGAAATCTTATATGATTCTAATTAGCACCTATTGATTACTGAATGCTTTTCCTTTGATCATCATCTTCTCAATAACTATAGAATATGAATTTAAAGTATCTCAGAATTGTGATAACAGAATTATCTTTTAATTGACAGAATCATGCAGACATTTGTTACACAGCAATGGAAACAGAGCAAAGAAAAGTCCAGTTGCCTACACAATAAAAAGCTATCAGAGAAGAAAGTGAAATCTCCCCTGCATTTATTTTCTACCTTGCGCAGGTTGGTAATAGGCATCTTTGTTGTTGCCTTGTTAGATAATGAGCTTGTGATAGTCAGTTGTTATTCAGTTTAAAACATTCTTTTTATGATCTTGGCATCTGTTTATTTTCTTTATGAGTTCAAAGAAATGTCTACGTTACACCTGTTTCATAGAATGCTTAGATATTCACATATGTGTTTAGAGTTTTATTTCATGTTGATTATTTCATATTGATTTTTTGTTTCCTAATCACATAACTCCTTATCCAAATCTTCCCTATTGGACTTTGGAGTAGGTAGGAAGGAGAAAAATTGTAGGATCTTCTTTAGCTTTTCAAAAAAAATGTGATTTATTTCCTGTGATCACCCACAGGTATCTTTATGTGATCTTTAAATGGGTAGGCTATACTTAAATGAGGTGGTAACTATGCACAACAATGGGCTGCAGTTGGAGCATGGCAAGATTTCTCTCTCCATGGTCCCTTGAACCCACGAGTTTCCGTGTATTAATTGTTGTTTCATTTCAAAGGTCGCCAAGTTATCCTCCCCCTGGTTGTGGCAAAAGCAAATCCAAACTGAAATCTGAGCAAGATGGAATCTCCAAAACACACAAGCTACTGCGGAGGACTTGTTCCAGCACAGTCAAGGCTGAGGACGTGTGTGCTGCAAAGTCCCACAGGACCTTTGGTCGCTCCCTGTCCAGCGACCCCAGGGCTGAGCAGGCAATGACAACGATTAAATCGCACAAACTCTTGAACCGTCCCTGCACTGCAGCTGTGAAGCAAGAGGACTGCCTCACTCTAAAGTCCCATAAATTATTGACTCGCTCTTGTTCTGGAGACCCACGATGTGAGCACAACACCAACTTGAAGCCCCACAAACTGTTAAGTAGGTCTTACTCCAGCAATCTCCGAATGGAAGAGCTGTATGGACTGAAAAACCACAAATTGCTCAGCAAGTCTTACTCCAGCGTCCCCAAGTCATCCAAAACTGAGCTTTTCAAGGAACCTAATGCAGAGGGCAGGAGGCTCTCTCTTACCTCAGGGCTTATTGGTATCTTAACACCATCTTCATCTTCATCTTCCCAGCCTGCTGTGCGTAAATATTTTCATCTTTAGTTCTTAACTGTTATGTAAGGGGCAGTGGAATTTTTCCTCCATAACATCTGGTGGAGGGAAGATGGATTTTATTTTAAAAATCTGTTATTTTCTTTTCTATTTGGATGTTGTTCTTGCACCAGACATTTACAGCTGGTACCTGAAAAGTTAGTTTTAATTCTGAAAAAAAAAAAAAAAAGCAATGTAGTTATTGATTTGAGGTCCATTTCAAATTCATGCCATACTAATGAATGCTACTGAAAGTGGAAGGAAGTCAGTTGAATTTCTGAAACCTTTCCTTTTAAGAAAGCCTATAATTTGAGTGTTTTATTAAGTTTGTTTGTTTGATCTCTGCCTTTTTCCACGTGGAACACCATATTTGTCTTATGACTAGATTAAGAATAATCTTCTTTCAGTTAAGATGGGAACTTTTGCACATGAAGGATGCCACTGATAGTGAGAAGCAACATGGACAAGTATATATCCCAGAGCCTCTCTTGAAGATGATCTTAATGTTCACATTATACTAAAACTCTTCTGGTGGTCCTGGAGCCAGGAGATGACTACAGTAATAACTTAATTTCTTTAGGTGGTGCTTTAAACAAAATTTACCTCATAAATTATGACCATTAAAGCTCATTTCAGATAAAAAATTAGACTTTATTATTCACATTCTCAAAACAGTCGGTTAAAAACTTTTGTTTGCTTTTTCTAGATAATGTTCACACATATGTTGGGAGATGCATGTTTAGCTATGACCAATAATATGAATACATCTAGCCATAAAGGGAGTTCATAAAAATAAGATACTATTTTCAGAAAGTTACTCTTCTGTAGACTTAGATCTAAAATCAAACTATAAATTATGCTGTAAAGTTATAAATTTGTGTATGTTGATATTTTTCTGTGAACATCCTAAAAGCCCATTTATATTCAAAGATAAATGTTGACAACCTGGAGAAAGCGATGTTGAATAATTACATAGCTAAATATTTCCCATGGCAGTTTTTCCAAGAAAGATAATTTCAGATATTCTGTGAAAGAAATGTATAAATGTTCTTCTATATGGCTGTGTATATAGTTTAGTGATGTGCCACATTCAATAGCTGTTTAATATTTCCTTAGAGGAATAATTGTATCTGATTATAATATAAGATTGAAATGTTCTAATTAGGAGCTGTGAGCTTTTGCTGAAAAGTAATAGAGACGATTTTTTTTGGTGCGTGTGTGGTGCTGGGGATTAAACCCATGGCCTTGTACATGTAAGGCAAGCACTCTACCAACTGAGGTATATCCCCAGCCCCTGAGGCAATGTTTTTTTTTTTTTTAATATTTTTTTTTAGTTGTAGATGGCCCTAATACCTTTATTTTGTGTGTTTGTTTGTTTGTCTTAATGTGGTGCCAAGGATCAAACCAGTGCCTCACATATGCTAGGCAAGTGCTCTACCACTGAGCCACAATCCTGGCTCAGCAATGGATTTTTGATCATGCAAACATCCCAGTCATTTTTAGTAGAAGATCAAAATTAATGCTACTATTTAGTTTAGGTAAAGATTGCAGTAGTAATGGCAGAAGGATATTATAATAGAACAAAGAATTTATAAAATCTTGATTGCATAATCAATGACAGTATTTCATGTGATCTTCTAAAGATCACTTCTGTATTAAAAGAAAGCTAAAAGGTAAAAGGCTATAATTCATGCATTTTCCCAATTAAAAAAATTACTTGGTTCTTTTACTTTGTTTTTTATAGCCAAATGGTGCAAAATGCATTCCAATACGAGACCGTGGCTTCCTAGTGCAGGTATGAGTCAAGACTCTATCTGTTGTGGAAATATTTTAGTCCTTACTGGGCTTTCAAAACATTTATGAACACGGCTAAATTATTTCTTTCTGTTGTTTTATTCAGACAATTGAGTTTGCTGAACAACGGATCCCCGTATTGAATGAGTACTGTGTGGTTTGTGATGAGCCACATGTGTTTCAAAATGGCCCCATGCTTAGGGTAAGTTCTTGCTGGTAGAGTATCAGTATTGGTTTAGAATATAAATGAAAAATGTTGAAATGTAAAAATAAATAAGTAATGTACCTTATGTTAAATATTCTCTTGAGCAAATTAGTTAACATACTGAATGATATAATTTACAAAAATGATTAGTATTATTTCTGAAGGGAGTCTATGAAAGAGCAAGTAGTCTGGTATTGGGAAAATGTTTCTTATGTGTCTTTTATCTGTCTATCCATTTGTACTTATATCTATCCTGATGTTGAGTGTTAGATATTGTAGACTTAATAAATACTGTTTATAAGGTCAAATAACAAGGATACTTAGATAATAATTATTAAAAATTCTACAATTTAAGATGCTTACTTTAAGGAGGAGACTGTATGCCCTATGTTGGTTAGGAGAGGTACACAGTAGCAGTAGGAGAATCAAAAGAAAGATTTCCAAAAATTGCCAACTTGACACATTTGGGACATTATCAAGGGAACACGGTAGTAATGATCACTGTACATATGTGCATTTTGGGGGAGAATTGTTCAGTTTAAAAATTTTTTTCCAGTTTTTTCTGATAAACTTCATATAACATTTAAATCACTGAAGTATACAATTAAGTGGTTTTAAATGTATTCATGATGTTGTGCAACAATCAATACCAATTTCTGGACATTTCTTTACCATAACTATTAGCTGACATTCTCTCCCCTCATTCCATGGCAACTACTAATCTACTTTTTGTTACTTCTCGATATTTGGTATAAATGTAGTCATACAATATGTGACCTTTCATCTTGGGCTTCTTTCACTTAGTATCATGATTTCACTTTTCATTCTTGTAGCATGCCTCAGTATACTTCACTCTTTTTTATGGCAGAATATTCCATTATGGATATACCATATTTGATTATTCATTCATTAGTTGATGGAATTGCTGAGACATGTTAAATTGTAATTAATGTGTGTGTGTGGTGGGGTACTTTAGATCAAACTCAGGTTTGCACACGGTAGGCAAGCACTCTGGCGGTAGGCTGTATCCACAGCCATTTTTATTTTGAGACAGGGTCTTCCTAACTTGCCCAGGCTGGTCTTGAACCTGTGATCCTCCTTCCTCAGTGCGCCTAGTAGCTGGAATTACAGATATGCACTACCACCCTGGGCTTGTTTAACTTTTTGTGGAATGGATAAGCTGTATCATTTTATATTCCCAATAGCAATGTACGACATTTCAGTTTCTCCACTTCTGGTTATTCTCTTTTTAAAAATCATAGTCATCTTAGTGGTGTAAAGCAGTAGTTCATTGTAGTTTTGACAAGCACTTCTCTAAGAACTAATGATTTTTTTTTGTGCTTAGTGACCATTTGTATGACTTTATAGAGAAATGTGTATTCAAATTGTTTTTCCCATTTTTATATTGGATTATTTTTATTTTTATTGGTAAGTGCTGAGTTCTTTATATATTCTGAATTCTAAATTTTTATTGTTAGATCTTTATCATGTATATGATTTGAAAATATTTTCTCATGTTCCATGGGCTATCCTTTCATTTTCTTGGTAGTGTCTTTTGACACAGATTTTTATATTTTGAGAGTGTCTAATGTATCACAGTTTTTCTTTAGTTATATGGGTTTCTAATAGTATGTCTAAGGAACCATTGCACAGCTCAAAGTTACAGGATTTACAGTTAATATTTTATTCTAAGGTTTTTTATGTATAAGTCACTGATCCTTTTTGAGTTAATTTTCAGTATGTGGTGTGAGGCTCGGGTTCAGATTCATTCTTGCAGGTAGATAACCAAATGTTCCTTTTCCTATTTGTTGAAGAGACTGCTTCTGTACTGAATGATCTTGGCACCCTGTTGAAAATGTTTGAACTTAGATGTACTGGTTTATTTATGGACTCTCGATTATATTTTTCACTGGGTTTTATATCTAAGACTGTACTACTCTGTCTTGATTAATGTAGCTTTGTAGTAATATTGAAATCCAGAAGTATGAATTCTTTTTGATCTCCTCTAATAGGATTGTTTTGACTGTTTGGGGTCCTTTGCAGTTACATTATTTACTTTTTTTGTAATATTTTTGTCTCTTTTCTGGTTGAGATATGTCAGATGTGTATTAATTCTTTTAAATATATGGTAGCATATTTATATGAGTAGAGTTGTTTTTAGTATTTGTCTGTTTTTTACATATAGCAATACTAATGTCTATTTTATTCTGCTGCCCTTCCTATTCCCCTTCCCCTAGTATTTGTCTTCTTCTTTAAAAAAAATATTTTTAGTTGTAGGTGGACACAATACCTTTAATTAATTAATTATTATTATTTTTTTTTATGTGGTACTGAGGATTGAACCCAGTGCTTCACACATGTTAGGCAAGCCTCTACCACTGAGCTACAATCCCAGCCCTCTTATTATCTTCTTGATATCAGTGGAGTTTTTGTGGTATTCTTTGCTTGATTCTTGATGATGAAGATTTGTCATTTCTGTGTTAGTTAGCTTTCTATCCATCACTATAAGAAAATACCTGAAATACTCAAACTATAAAAAGAACAGGATTATTTTGGCTGAGCTTTGGATGTCTCAGCTGGCCCCAAGGATTTGGCCCTAGGTTGGGACAACCCATCATGCCAATAGCATGTGGTGGAGCAAAACTAGTCACCTCATTGCCAGGAAGCAAGAGAGAGTGAGAGAGAAAGAGAGAGAGAGAAAGAAAATACATAAAGAACTCCATTTGTTTCCCATGGGAAGTCTCTTCCAATGATGCACTCTCCATTTTGATCTGAGGATATTTTAATTTCTCCTTAATTGTTTGAATGATAATTGTGCTGGACATAAGATTCTTGGTTTATAGGTCCTCTGCACTGTGAGCAGATTTGAAGTGCTCCTCTCTATAGCACTTTGAATTTGTCATCCTACTGCCATCTGGTGATCACCATCTCTAGTGAGAAATGATTTTGTTAAATTGAGGATCCCTTATGTATATTGAATTACTTCTCTCACTGCTTTTAGGATCTGTTGTTTGTCTTTGGTTTTTAGCATATTTCACCATATTTTGAGTTCCTTAGATTTCTTGGCATTTTTCATTAATTTGAGGGTTTTTTGTTTGTTTATTTTAAATAACACCATGTATCTTCAAATATTCTTTCTGCATCTTTTCTCTCCTCTTGCCTTCTGGGACTCCCAAATCTGTAATTTTGTATGTGGTAGTGTCCATTAGGTCTTTTAGGGTTTATTTACTTTTCTTAATGATTTTTTTATTGCTGTTAGTTTCTAATACCTGACCTACCGTCAAGTACATGATTCTTCTTTCTGCCTACTTAGGTTGGCTTTTGAGTCTTTCCATAATTTCTTTTTCTTTCTCTTCATTTTAGTTACTGTGCTCTCTAGCTCAAGAATTTCTTTGTGGTTATGTTTTGGTGAATTCTATGTGTTGCTACTCTGTGGGGATATTGTCTTTCCTTTTTTTTCTAAATTAATTAATAAATTCTTTTTTTGTTTGTTTCTTTTAGCTCTTTGATCCTTTCATAAATAGATAATATAAAGTGTTAGCATAGTAAGTTAAATATCTATGCTTTCTCTGTTACCCTTTTTTTTCTTCTTTTAAATATTTATTTTAGTTGTCAGTGGATCTTATTTATATGTATTGGTGAGAATCAAATCTAGTGCCTCACATATGCAAAGCAAGCACTCTACCACTGAGGTATGACCCCAGCCCTACCCTTTCTCTTGATTACCTTTTTCCTATATGTTACTTTCTTATTTCTTTGCATTTGTCATTATTTTTTTTTATCAAAAACATGATATTTTGAATATGATAATAGAGCTACTTTCGAATCAGATCTCTGCTGTCCTAAGGATTTATTTTGTTGTAATTTCTTGTGTAATTTTTTTTTCCAAATTATTTATGGTCTTGTTTGGCCCTTCAAGTTTTGTTCATTTAGTGGTCAGCTAATTGTTGAAGCACACCCAAAACCTCTTTCAGTTATTGTCAAGGGGCTCTGTGGGTAATGTCAGGGTATGCATGAGATTCTAGTCCAGTGATTCTCAATATGTTTGAGTGTGTCTGTCACTTGCTTGAGGAATGGAAATCCTGCTGAAACAAAGTCACTTGAGAAACCTGACAGTCTATATTTTTGTGTATCTTCCTTGCTGTGGCTTTTAGACTGCTCTTAATAACTAAGGCTTTTATTTTCTAAATGAAGTTAATAATACTCAGCGATCATTTGGTCACAGTTTGAGGCATGCCCATGAAAACCTGTGAGAAACTGAGCAGGGGATAAACCAGAGTATTCTCATTTTATCTTCTAAGTATGAAGTAGGTAGATCTTCTTGTATTTAGGTCTCACTTTTGAACGGTGAATGAAAAAGTGCATCCTACTAACACCTTCTCTCCCCTCCAATTTATGGAACTTATAATTTCAGATTCTGAAACAGAAGCTCAATAATTATGCCCAGAAACTTTTAGTTCAAAAACATGATTTTTATACATACCTAACTGAATTTTGAGTAGACATTGATTTTAATGCTCAAACAATGTCCTTTTTGTATGAAACAAATAGGGACTCTGTTAGGCCTCTTTGCCTTCTTGAGGATCTGCCTTGGTCCCTGTGGTGTTTCTCTCTCTCTCAGGGGACAGTAAACCTTTCTCCACACTGAATGTGTTTCTTGACTTAAAAAAAAAAAAAATTCAAAGTGTTGACGAGTGTACTAAAAATACAGAGAGTTCAAGGCTTATGGGTTTGTGGTTCTTAAACTTTTATATAAACACCAGTTTTAAATCAGGAATTTATATTTAAATTGATTTTTTTGTAAGAAAGATTGTAGCAGTAAATTGAGTTTTGAAAAACTGTGGATACAAAAATAAAAATGCTGCAAAATGTAATTCAAAGAATTGCAAAATGTAATTCTTTTATGAAATGCTTATCTTTGTGTACACATTGAGTTAAAGCTGCTGCAGAGATGGCTTGTCTAGTTTCTTATATTAACACTTAAACAGCTCTTTATGCCTCAAGGAGATTTTATACATACCTTATCTCACTTGGTCCTCTTATCAACTCAGGCAGCTAGATGTTATTTTTCTTCTCACTTTACAGTTAGAAAAACAGATAAACACATGTGCTTCAAGTGGACAAGGTTCCACTTCTGTGTGTTTTTTATATTGAACTTACACAAAATACTGTTTGAACAAAAAGACGATAGCAGAAATGTTTGAAAACCATTCCTGATACTATATTTATCTCTATTCATAAATACATAGCTAAATTCTCTAGAGTTGCATCATTTCTCTTCAGTAAAGGATAATTTAAATTCTTTGACAATACAACTTTTCTAAAAGTACAGTTATATTCTAAAATATTCATTAGGGCTCAAGAAACTTTTTGAAACATTTTTTATTGCATTTAAATTGCTCTGATTCAAATGAAAAAGTGCATCCTACTAACACCCTCTTTCCCCTCCAATTTATGGAACTTATAATTTCAGATTCTGAAACAGAAGCTAAATAATCATGCCCAGAAACTTGTAGTTCAAAAACATGATTTTTAAACATGGCTAACTGAAACCTTTTAAAATAAATTATATTTTAGGGACATATATAAAATTCCCTGTGCTTCTAAATGGTACATAATGAATATTGTGTAGTAAATATATTATGTTTATGTTGACAGTGGAGGGATTTGCCATGGTTTTGTTGTCTAAATTATATGGATTAATTGTTGGTTTTTTTTTTTTAAAGAAAGAGGTGGTGAGAGAGAGAGAGAGAGAGAGAGAGAGAGAGAGAGAGAGAGAATTTTAATATTTATTTTTTAGTATTTGGTGGACACAGCATCTTTGTATGTGGTGCTGAGGATCGAACCCGGGCCGCACACATGCCAGGCGAGCGCGCTACCACTTGAGCCACATCCCCAGCCCTGTATGGATTAATTGTTTCAAGACAATATAATAATACATTAATAGCAAATTATACTTTACAAATTCAAACTAGTAGATATATGGTAAACTAAAAAAATGAATTAGTAAATAATAACACACACTTGGTTACATGTAGGCATAAATAAATTTGTATGAAAGTATTGAAATAAAACTCATCATTACACTTACCTGGTAATAGTTATTTAGTGATGGTGCTGTTTTGAATTAGGACTAGTGCTTTCTGTGTAAATAATTTCAGTGGAGGTATGAAGGTTGGTGTGGTGGTCAGAGGGTAATTGTTTCAAGGCAGAGAAGGCCTGTCCACAGTGTAAGTACTTAAGTTTCACTAAGGAAAAATGATTCAGTTTTTCATCCTCGAACAGGATTTTCTGGGAGCAGACATCTAATCTTGATCACCTAGTGTTGTTTGAGAATTTTCTTTTCGTGTGCCATCTTGTGTTGACATTTTGAACTCTCAAATGTGAATAAATGAGAAAGTATTGCTACTATAAAAAAAGTAAATAAATACGGGAATATTCCTTTGAAAAATAAAGTAATTTTCTTGAACTTGAATATTTCTTGAACTTTCTAATCCAAGTAAGTAAAACATATAGAACTGCTAATTAAAATTTCAAGACATGTTTACTTATCATGGTGTTAGCGTGTTAATAAATTAATGACAACTTTATTACCTCTGTAGTTGGCTATATTAAAAAGATGGAAAGAAATTTATTTTCATAAGAATGTGATGTATACTTCTACCTTCAGCAGGTTTTCTAGTATGCCTAATTTTTGCCTGATCACCTCTTTCCAATTTATAGTAACAGGATATTACAAAAAACGAGCTTTACACATTTGGGTCTGGGAAGGAGTGCTACTTTCAAACAAAAATATACAAAAAAGAACAGGAATGTCCATAATTTGATAATGTTCTCATTTTATTATAAGATTGCAGTTTCATTACTTCAAATAATGGACTGATTGGCAAGTTTATGTGATTTGGAGCTATAGAAGTTAGAACATAAACAGGTCTCTGAGGGGATTAAATAGATGAAAGCATTATAGGAAGCCCTGAAAAGTAAAGAATAGGGATGTCTTAGTGAAATTGCTAAAAATCATAAGAGACCAAGTCCAAATACTTTTGAATACCCAGGATTGGCAATAATGTGTTATGACAGAGATATGTAAAACCAACTGTGTCTATTAAAATTTCCCCATGTCCTTGAAATTTTTTTGTGTTAACTTTTTTTTTTTTTAAGAGTAACTGTCACAGCCTTCTTTTTTAATTTTTTTGTTGTTGTTGTTTTTGTAGTTGTAGATGGACAGAATGCCTTTGTTTATTTTTATGTGGTGCTAAGGATCAAACCCAGTGCCTTACACATGCTAGGCAAGTGCTATGCCTCTGAGCTACAGCCTCCTTGTGTTAACTTTTTAAAAATTAACTGTAAATCTACTATAGTGATGTATTATATTTCAGTAAAAGAAATAATTTGGTACTGAAGTTTCTATTGTCATATTCCCTGGAATGTATGTGTGTACATATTTATATACACATGTATTATCATACACACATATATATCTAGACATATATTTTGATGATCACAAAGTATAGTTGATTGTCCAATGTTCAAAAGAAACTAATCATTATTTATGTCACTAAATAAGCATTACCTTGATATTCACTTTGAGGATTGAAGAATTTTAGTCATAAAAACAGAGATGGATTTTTTGACAGAAGTGTTATTCAAAATGAAGAACCTTTCTTGTCACCATTTCCCCCTCAGTGAATTTTGGGTAGTTGGTACATGAATAAATTTCTGGAGCTCTTTATGATATTCAAAGTTCTTATTTCCCTGGAACTTTTGCTTGTATATATTTTTGTTATATTCAGACATCAATATACATTTGAGGTAAAGTAAATAATCAGGAATGATCAGTGCTGTTACTTTCGATCAGACTATGTGCTTTGCCTCATGAAGTGAACAAAAGAAATAGCCTAATGTCCTTGGGAGAAATTGAGGTTGTAATATACGCACATAGCTGTACACACACTGGCAAAATAGAAGATTAAGTTACACATTGAAGTTGAGCAGAAAGAAGTGGAATGGAAAAGCCTGCTGTATGTATATCCATATATATATATATATATATATATATATATATATATGGCAATGTGTAAAGCTTGTGTCTGGAGACCTTTTTCAAATTAATTTCCTCCCACAGTCCCGATATTTCTGAAAGGGAACCAGATTGCACTTTTAAGGCTGACAAGGGAAATATATCAATTCCATTTTCCTCTAACATTCTCTTTAGAGGAGAGTCAACCAGAAATGTTTGTGATTGTTCAGCCCTTCTATCCGTAAAGCCACACATACAGGCTCATTCTCAACAGAGATGTTCGGAGTGGCACCATACTTGCCCACTAGCTAAGCAAAAGACTAAGCCGTCCTCTAAAAGCAGTGAGCACAGGAACAGTGGCACTAACGAATGTCTTTTGTCTGCTGTGGAGAGGCACCATGGATTGCATCCTGTTAGGCTTCATCAGCTACCTAATGCAGTGTAGCCAGGGAGATAAGATAAATCAAAGAGATGACACTATATTAGATTTGAAAGATGAGCACTTTTCCAAAGTAATTGCAGAATGCATATTTCAGAGCTGTTGACTTCAGGAGGTTATTGAAGTCCAGAGTCTTTGCAACAAAACCAATCTTTCAAGAGCTGGGTAACATGTAAGCAGAGTCATGCTTATTTCTTGCAAACAAATTTCTTAGGAAAAAGGAGTTCTCCATTGTATATCTGTCTTATAGAGCTTTTGTGTATAATCTTGTTTTTATTTTATCATCTTAACCTTAGTATTTATTTATTTATTTATTTATTTTAATGCATTTCATGGGGCTGTGGCTCAATGGTAGTGCACTTGACTGGCATGTGTGAGGCACTGGGTTTGAGTCTCAGACCTATTAACAACATACACACACACACACACATACATTCATGAGTCAAATATGAATTTTGTAAGAGATACAGACTTTGCTTTTTAATATATTTTCATTTATTGCTGAATTGTTCGAAGTGAAAGTGACTACAACTAATTGAAATTGATCATTTCTTATCATCTTTACAATTCTTTATTAGCAAAAGATTCTACTAATTATTACCTAAATTTAAAAATGTATTTTTTTTTAAAAAACAAAACATTATGGATTTTTTTAACATTCCATTTATTATGTAGACAGTCATTAATCTGATTTTAAAATTGAAAAATGGAAAGTACTGGAAAGTACTGTAATCAATTTCCGTTTCTTTTTTAGCCTACTGTATGTGAACGAGAACTGTGTGTATTTGCTTTTCAAACCCTGGGAGTAATGAATGAAGCTGCTGATGAAATAGCAACTGGAGCTCAGGTACTAACTGAGACTAATCGTTCCTTCTTTTGATTCAAAACTTTTGTTGTAGTCCAATAGTTATCTTCATTCTGCTTACTTTTTGTGGGAAATTTTCAAGAGCTTCTTGTTGAAGGCGAACTGGCACTTGATATTTTTTAGATGAAGACTAAATTTTCTCTTTTCATCTTGTGTGTTTTTGACATTTTGCAGTTGCCAAGGGGAGAAATTAATTTAAAGTATTTTTGTAATTTACTTTAATTACCAAATTTCTTTAAAGTATTATTGTAATTCTTGCAGGGTGAAATTGAGTTACTGAAATGTTTGCACATGTTTTGTGTAAAACACATTTGTAGAGTTATACTGCCATAAATTGGAAATCTGTTTATTTTTAAAACTGAACTTAAAAGATAATGGGAAGAATACAAAATAAAAGGAGAGCATTTGTTTTCAAGAAGGATATAAGAGATAGGAAGAAAAATATAAAAACAATTAAAGGAACAACTTGGAAGTAAAGAATCAAGCTGTTTCTAGAAAGGAAAAGAATAAGTCATAAGGATGCCAAAATGTATTATTACTTCATGCAACTTCATGAAAATTTCAGTTGTCTGTTTTTTTCATGTAGATTGTAACTAAATTACCAATTCATGTATGAGAAGAAATTGAAAACATTAAGAATTAATAAATGTTAATTAAGAGAGGTTAGGTCAACTCTTAAATCTTATTATGAAGTGCTGTAAAATTTAAATAAAATACAGTATTATTGGCAAAGAAAAGAATGTTAGATTATCCCCAAACCCAGTCATTGTAAGTACATTTAATATATGTTAAAAGAGGGATCACATCTTCTTTTTATGAAGAATTATGTAGTAAGTGAAGTAAACACACTGGACCAACAATATGGGAGAAAATCTGTTTGACTCTTTCTTATTCTATTTATGAAATCATATTCCAAATAACTTAGAATGTTTGGAAAAATGATATGCATACTAGAGGAATGTAGCATGCCTGCCTGAGTCGGTGTTTTAGGCTTGTGCATTTATGCTGTTTTTGGAAATCCTAAAAGAAATACCATATTTTTTCATGTTATGTGCTTCACTGGAAGAAATTATGAACATTAAGGAAGAAGTATCCAGAGCTGGGTGTGGTGGCACATGCCTGTATTCCAGCGGCTCAGGGGGCTGAGGCAGGAGGATCATGAGTTCAAAGCCAGTCTCAGCAACAGCAAGGTTCTGTCATGCTGTCAGTTACACCCTGTCTCTAATTAAAATACAAAATAGGGATGGGAATGTGGCTTAGTGGTTGAGTACCCCTGAGTTCAATCTCGGTTCCTACCCCACCGTCCAAATAATGCCCATAATCTCAGCTGCTCGGGAGAGAATGAGGCGGGAAGATCCTGAGTTCAAAGTCAGCCTCAGCAACTTAAGTACTAACAACTCAACAAGACCCTGTCTCTAAGTAAAAAAAAAAAGCTGGGGATGTGGCTAGTGGTTAAGCACCCCTGGGTTCAATCTACAATTACCCCCCCCACCCTCAAAAACAGTATGAAAAAGCTCTTTCCTTACACAAACATGATTATATGAAAGCTGAAATTTTTTTGAGAAGAAAAACACAGGGCCATAAGAGTTGAATAGAAAATGAATATGAATTCACAAAAGGGATGTATAGTTAGTAATGAAACATGAGAAAAAATTCAGCTTCATTAAAAATCGACAGGAAGCTGTTGTAAAGGGAATTACCAATCTTTCATTTATGAACTTCACAGGGATGGGTGGGAAGAATATTATTGCAGCATATACTCGCTTAAGTATGGGATGTTTCCTACACAGGTGACCTTGTACTAGGTGATTCAGAGTAGATAATTAACATTGATAGCGTAAGCACCTAGCCCTTCCACAGCTTAGCCAAACTATGATGCTGTACTTAATGAAACACTAAGGATTATATTTTTTAATATAATCAAACATAAATGAAAAATACTACCACAGTAGACCAATGATGTTATATATTATGAAAAAAATGATTTCATAATTAAAATAAATATTATAAATACAGCTTGATATTTCCCCTATAGCTCCTATGTACTGTTTTACATATTAAAGACTCCAAGAATCCTTAAAAGATATTTTCATTTTAATACTGACAAACCCTTAACTAGTGGGGTGTATGAAAAAATATTTATATCATAGATTTACACGTGTTTATGCGCATAGTTACTAAAAATATTTGGTAGCTCATGATTGTAATCCTAGTGACTTAGGAGGCTGAGCCAGAGGATCTCAGGTTCAAAACTAATCTAGACAACTTAGCAAGACCCTGTCTCAAAATAAAAATCTCAGTGGTAAAACACTTCTGGGTTCAATCCTTAGTAGGAAACAAAACAACAACAACAAAAAACCCTGAAGACCTCAAATAATCACTTAAAACTTGTATATTTTGCAAGATGTAACAGTTCCCTCAAATAAAACAATTAAAAACTAGAAATAGTAAGTTATTAATTAAAGGGAAATTAAATCATGCTAAAATTAGGGTAGTTAAACAAAACAATAGGTGACACTTTCCTCATCATTATATTTCTAAAAATAATGGTTTTTAAATAAAAGTGGATTTTAAAATATCTAGTGGTAGTTAGAAAACTTAAGTGTTTGATCAAATCAATTGATTGATTTTCTCTACATATTAATATTCAAGATAAATTAGTTATTCTATTAAAAGAGAGCATTCTTTTTACTACTATAGTTTAAAAAGAAGAAAAAAAATCACACACAAAAAAACTGTCTCATTCTCATTGCATCTGTTGACTCCTGCAGTTGATGGTGCTCTCTCTTGGGAGTTCTAGGAGACATGGAGATGCTCCTCACCACTGCAGGAGCCTGGGCTGGGACAAAGTGTCCATGCAACTACCATCCCAGGCCTCCAAATCCTACTCTACTTCAACAGTTTTCTGTTCTTTGTTTGGAATAGTGTGTCAGAAACATTAGATGTTACATATCTCTTTTTTGAATGAGTTTTGTGGGTGTATAGGTCTGTGTACTTGTGCAGGGTTGCTAACTAGTTTAGGTCACTGGAAATTCTGAATGTTATGATGAATGGGTATATTCTGTGAGTACATGAGACAACAACAGTGAACACAACTGATATTAGGTCACAACATCCCTCCTAGGAACATGAGAATTAGAAATTGTCCATATCCTATTATGCATTTTCAGAACACCTGTTTAAAACTCTAGAAATGGCTTTCCTTTCTTATGTCTGTGTTTAGGTGTGTCTGTTCAGGTCAATGTTCTTCATTTAGCTAGTATCAGTTTTCTATATCCAGTTACTGGAAATATAGTATATTGTTTGGGGAACTATGGAGGTGAGCCAGCCTAGCTACTGTGTAGTACTGCCTCTTAGTAAATTATGCAAATGGATCATGGATAATATAGGAATGAAGCAAATCAAAAGTCATTAGTAGACATTGACAGAGTAGGAAGAACCTTGATAATGTCAGGCATTTTGCTGTTCTTGGAGCATGCCAGACTTCTGTTTTGTGTGGCTTCCTTTAGCTGGAACAGTTTCTCTCCAGATAGTGGCATTTTTTTCCGTCCTGACCTCGAAAGACAGCACTCCCTTCTGCATTGTTCTTAAATACCTATTTTATTTTTATTGTTTTTAAAAGTACCAGAAATTCTATTGAAGTATATATTCTTTTAACTGAGTTTTTAATATGCATCTTCTTCTTTAGACTGTACACACCACCTGCTTATGGATTAGTCTTTTTTTTCTCATTGTCTTTACCTTGAACAAGGCTAGCAGATAATATGTACTCATAATCATAACAAAGGCTTATTAAAATATGAGTAATTAGAACTGGCACATTTTTATTTTAAATTGAGAGTTACAGTTTGGCAAAATTTGGTTAAAGTCAGGAGTTGCAGGTGTGAGAGATAGGTAGTTGTCCTGGGCTTTCTGATGAACTCCTGCTACCAGTGAGAGGGAGAAGCAGTGGCTAAACACTTGCAGAAACCTCAAGGAAAGTAACTGTCTCGTGGGTGTGTTTTAAGGTGGTAGATCTGCTGGTGTCCATGTGTAGATCTGCATTGGAATCTCCTAGAAAAGTTGTCATTTTCGAGCCATATCCTTCTGTGGTAGATCCTAATGATCCTCAGATGCTGGCCTTCAACCCCAGGGTAAGTAGGCATTGTAACACATCAAGAACTCTGGTAACAGTAAAAGAGATGTTCTCTTTCTCTCTGAATGTCCTATGTCATCAAGCAGATCCACAATTTCTTAAAGTTCATTGAAGTGTTTTGGGGGAGGATTCTGATTTTATGTAAACTAGGCCTTAAAATTTTATTATTTATTTATTTAACTTTAATTTCTTTATTCCCTTCCTCCTCTCCCTTTTCAGTTATCTGAAGGTTTTTGGAAGCTATATAATGCCAGTTTATACTGATATTGTTGACATTTCTTAAGAAAAACATTTTTTAAATATTTTGAGAAATAGGCAGAATCCTTCTGAAATAAAATTTTCAAATTGCATGAGGACTAAAATTACTAGTTAGTATTATTATTCATTTTATAGAAACAGCTACATAATATTTCCCTGGAAGAACTTGCTTTTGTTTTGAAGTGGCAGCAGTGCCCATATTTACCTTATGCTTACAAATGAATTATCAGAGGAGTCACATGCGTCCTGTCCTGTACTCTTTTTGGTAACAATATTCCAATCAAATGAAAATAAGAAGCCAGGCATGGTGGTGCACACCTATAATCCCAGCAGCTCTGGAGGCTGAGGCAGCCTCAGCAACTCAGTGAGACCCTGTCTCTATAATACAAAATAAGACTGGAAATGTGGTTCAGTGGTTAAGTGCCCCCGAGTTCAATTCCCAGTATGAAAAGAAAAGAAAATTTGAGATTTGAAATGGATTTTTATGTGAAGGATTCTGTGCTTACTTTATGGCCTGTTGTTTTAGTGGTGAAAGCATGATTCGAGAATTCCATGTCTGCTTTTGTATTTTGAAAACCTAACCCATAAGCTAAATATGATTTTCTATCCTGGTTTACAGAATTGCATTGTTTTCTTTTTTCTTCCCTCTAATTATAAATCCTATATTCTTGAGCCATCTTATTACAATCTTCCCTTTTATGTATATAAAACAATTATTGGTTTTACACTGATTCGGATGGAGACTTCATGTATACAAATAATGTATTTCCCTAGTGATATGTAGCTTCTCAAAAGATTTTACTTGAATTCTGTTTTTTTTTCTCATAATGCAGAAGAAGAATTATGATCGAGTAATGAAAGCGCTGGATAGCATAACTTCTATCAGAGAAATGACACAAGTAAGTATACTGTCTTGTGGTCTTACACAGTTCATTATGTGTGGGTAGGATTATATTTTAAAATGTCTGAGTACTGACCATGTAGTGAAATGTAGATTTCCCTATTATACGGGGAATAAATAAAATCATAAAAGAATTGTTTTGTATTTAGAATATTTTAGTTAAATTATATCACTGTATTGATATGCTGAGATTTTTGAAGGGTAAGTACACAATTATAACCCTAATGCTTTATAACCCTTTAGGCTTTCACATAAAGATAAGGGCATTGAGCACATGAGGGTACATTGGGATACTTAAAGAAGAGGTGAAATCTATTACCATCTTCCTGTAATGTCAATTTCAATTGATGGTTGTAATTTCAAAACATTTTTATGTTAAAGTGACAACAAATATTCTTTAAGATGCAAATTTTGCATGCATATTTTCAATGTAACACAGAACCTAAAACTTCTTTGGAATGCCAGACTCCCTTGAGCGGGTGAGTTCATATGTGTTGTCATTAGCAGTGCTCTGGTGGAAAAGTTTCCTGAGTGTGAATCAGAATTGTTTATGGAGATCTGATACATCCCTAGGCTGGATGTCTTCCCTTTTATGTATATAAAACAATTATTGGTTGAAATAGTTATAGGTCCAGCACTTGCCATGGAATTTCAGCACTTTTCCCCAACACAGATTTGGTGAGAGGGTTAAAACTCATCATTGTAAGCAGAAAATTATAATCCAAAAATTAACAACACACACTGTGTATACAGTTTGTATATAGAGCTTCAAGGTGTGTTAGTATCCTTTTTTGTTACTTGGACTAAAATACCTGCCATAAACAATTTAGAAGGAGAAAAGTATATTTTGGCTCATGGTTTCAGTGATACAGTCCATGGTCCAACCACTCCATTGTACCTGGCCTGATGTGAGGTCGAACATCATGGCAGAAGGGCAGAGTGAAGGAAAGCTGCTCAGCTGTGGCAGCTGGAAAATAGAGAGAACGAGAAGATATATTTCCCATGAGCACTCCCCCAGTGACTTCCTCCTCCAGCCCCATTCCACCTGTCTACATTTAAAACCAGTAGTCTCTTCCAGTTTTTAATCCATCAGATGAATCAGTCCTCTGAAGAGGTTGTAGCTCTCCTATAATCATTTTACCTCCGAACATTCTGCATTGTCTATTACATCAGCTTATTGGGGGGCACCTCATATTCAAACCATTAGACAAGGTTTGCACTTCATGAGGGATTGACCCTTGTGGGCCTATGATGAGACTTACTTGGGCCCTTAATTTTCTCTGGGGAAGAAATAACTCCTGCCCCAGGCCTCACTGAGCTTCTGCATTACTCTCTCCTTCACCTAGCATCATCTCTACTCCTCTATTTGATGGCAGTGCTCAAAAATTTTGTCTTTGCATTTCCAACTGTGAGTCTTGGTTCTTTTGATCATTATTTATTCATATAGTCAAATATTCACTCTTCATTCAGCAGGTATGTGTCAGACCATGATAAATAAGAGATCCTTTAATTTCCAAGTGATATTTACTTAAAAACTCCCATGTATTTTTCTATTTCCATACCTTTCTATATTATCTGAATTCTTCAAACAAGAATTTTTATTTGTATAAGCAAAGAAAACAATAAAATGTATTTCCACAAGGCGGGCCAAGAACTTTAATTCTGTGTCTCTACACGAAGTTAAACATTTTTAATCATGAAAAAAGACTTTGGTATAGGGTATTTATACTATACCCTAGACCCAGATCATTCTTGGATTTAAAAATAGCTCAAACTCTGACTCTGAAATCAGCTCTCTGCCAAAAATTGCTTCTTGTATTCTGGGTCATGTGTAAGCTATTTTAATAGGAGGCAATGTAGATGATGGAGTCAGCCCTGGGAAGTCAGAGGCTGTATAACTGGCTCTACAACAATGTGGCCTGTGACCTTGGGCAAACTGCTTAATTGGTGCCTCAGTGTCTTTGCTGCCTACGTAGAAAAAGTAATGCTGCACCCTCTTTCAGAGTGTACTTCATAGAGGTGCTGTCAGATATTATTGCATCAGATTCTTTAAATCTTTCAAATATATAAATATAACATTATACTGTCCTATTTTCTAAAATATACTGTCCTATAGATAGCTCTGAATTGTTATAGACAGAACTCTCTTTGTTCTATAAAATAGTTGTTTGGGTAAATTAATTTTAGAGAAGGATTGTTCTTTTGTAAATGGCTTTCTTATAGAAAGATCCATACCTCAGTCTATATTCCTAGGTGTGAGCATGAAGAGTAGCTGTCACATGTTCTGCTTTAATGTTAGTTAAAATTAAATGGTCATTGTTAAAAACAAGTATTAAAGATGGCAGGACAGACTGTCAGCAGAGTACTGCAGCAAGGGAGAGACTGCATCATAAATTGAGCTCATCTCCAGTTAAGACAAAGGAGCCTGACATTTTTAAAGGTAGAAGAAAAGAACCAAGAGGGGCTATGAGGATGTGAAAAAGTGGGAACCAAAAGAGTGGAGTAGGGGCATTATGTGGAAATGGAAAGGTACAGAAAGGGCCAAATGAAAATTACTGAAAATGGTTTGGCAGGGTGGGTGGGTCCGGTGTATACTTCGTGATTTGCAGCATTGCAGTTTCTTGAGCAGGACTTAACAAGGGGTCTTGGTGGGGTAACCATCCTTTAGGGATACAGTCTAGTAAAAGTGTGGCAGGTGAGTCCTTTGTGCCTCATGGAAGTTCAAAGTTAACATCATCTTGGGGAACATGACTAGGGTGATTGCTGACATTCCACGTTAAGGCAACAGATTTTTCAGTTTTAACTAGACTGTAGGCATGTCGTTCAGTCTGATTTTCCTGTTATAGAAAAGAAAGAATGAATTTTAAAGACTAATCAAGGAGGAAAATGGCTTTTTTTTTTTTTAATTTCCAGGCTCCATATCTAGAAATCAAGAAGCAAATGGATAAACAGGACCCTCTCGCTCATCCCCTACTGCAATGGTATAAAATTTTAGTTTTTCTTTTAATGAAAATAGCATCTTTTTCTACTGTTTGCTTGATGATGGGTACAGGTAGCCTATTTTATAAGCCTTGCAATGCTACAGATCCACAAGCCTATGAGATCTGGTGATTTTACAATCCAGGAGTCTTAATGACTCCTGGGGACTCACAAGGGGAAGAAAATGCTGCCATATGCACCATCAGGGGTGTACAATGTATTTGACAGCAGTTTGTCTATAGTCTCAGAAGATGTGATTAACTTGATTATGTGTTGAAGGCATTTTGGTTCACTTAATTTTCTAGTTCAATGAAGACTTTAATTTTTTTTTTGTTCAAAATGATGTCAATATCTTTTATATATTTTGCTTCCTTAACAAGGACAGTGTAGATTTGATTAACCCCTCAGCTTGATCACTACAGAAGATACACTGTTTGTGTGAGCTTGATGGGGGATAAAGAAATAGTCCAGCCTGAATTCTGGAAGGGAACCAGACTATAGAGAGGAAAGGGGTCTATGAACTCACCTTGCTGGGATATCCACTTCAAATAATTTGCCTTTATTTCTCCTTTGCAAAATAAAGACAGTGAGGTTTATAAGGATTTTATGTACATTCCTCTTTGAAACCTTAAAGATACATAGGATTTCCCACTATTGCCATACAAATGTAGAATTATAAGAGATTTGTCAAGATGAATTCTTATTCCATGTTATAACCAGAAAGATTTAACAGAAATATATGTTGGCAAAGGAAAAAGAACATGGCTTCCTTAAGATTCTTATTTAATTGCCACTTAGTTGAACTTTTATAATGCATACTTAAAATATGACAAGACCTTAACAAAAGTTAGGTGAGATTCTTAGTTTTATTTGTTATGATCTATTATTAAAATTCTGATAAATTAAGTCTCCTCCTTTGCAGTTTAAATTTTCTCATTATCATATTCAAAATAAAGGTGAAAATCTCAAATACATAGTTTTGGTTTTTTTAACCTCCTGAAGTTAGCCTGTTAACTTGTGATCAGTCGCTCCAGCTTCTTGGTTGCTCTTCTCTCAGGGAGAAGAAAACTTTATCAAAATGTCTTGCTTAGAGTGTCACCCCCTTACTATTTTATATACTGAAAAGCATAAAACAATCAATTTTTTCCAGATACATAATTATTTTCAGCTTTAATGTTTGAATATGTTGACTCATGTGAATGATGACACATATCAGCTCACAAATATCCTCAAATAGTTAAACAAAATGACTCTCCATAAGAACCTTTTTTAAAAAAATATTTTTAATTGTAAATGGACACAATACATTTACTTATTTATATATTTATATATCTATTATTTATTTATTTGTTTGTTTTTATGTATTGCCAAGGATCAAACCCAGTGCCTCATACATGGGAGACAAACACTCTGCCACTAAGCCACAATGCCAGCCCAAGAACTCATTTCTTAATTTAGGCAATGTAGAGAGAAGCAGAAGAATGAGATGCATGTGTCAGCCTCTAATGTTTGTAGGAATTACCATTACCTGAAGTACTGTGTATCTAGAAACACTGATTCTGCTGATGTTTAAGATTTTGCTTTTAAAAAATTCTATCTTTGTTAATTTTAAGTTCCTTCTCCTTGGTGTATATTTTCTTAGATTAAAATACCTTTTTTTGTTACATGAGTTCTCTAAATGATTTCAGGAAATAAGCCAAATGTAACTAAATGAAAATATTATGGAATTTATTGTATGACACAGCAAAAATAAGTTTTAATCACTTGCTAACCCAGAAGAAAAACTTTAAATATATTTGGCATATATTATAACTGACTGATTTTTAATTTCAGGGTTATTTCAAGTAATAGGTCACATATTGTGAAACTGCCAGTTAACAGGGTAAGTAAGTAATTTCTTTACATATGCACACCAATATGGGAGGAGAACTTAATAATTGGGAAAATGAGGCCTGTGATTTTTAGGCAACCTCTCCAAGAACAGAGGTAGACAGACTCAGGTTAAGTCTTAATTCATCAGTTTGAAATTACCATTTGAAATCACTCTGAAACCTCAGCAAATTAAGATATCAAAATGCAAATTCAGGTTGATGCTTAACTTTTAAACAAATAAAAACATCCAATATAATTTAGTCATTCCACAGTGATAGAAAAGCATTTTCTGGAGTTTCATCAGAGGAACATGAATGTGCTTTTTAATTATTGTTAGTTTTATATTGGCACATTGTACCTTCCCGTGTCTAAGAAGATGTTGTTTCCAGTTTCTTATTCATTTGGCTAATAAGATTAGAAAACAATATTAATAAACATCTAATGGACTCTAACTTCATTTCTGATTCTCACCTGAAAGTAGTACTATCAGTCTGTTTCTTGTGTACAAATCTGTGTTTAAGTCTGTGTAAAAATCTGTGTAACTATGTTCCTAGGAGAAAGGGATTTCACCTAGGAACAGTTAGAATATTTTATCAAGCAATCAATCCAAAAGATTTTGCTTTCTTTTCATGATCAAAGGGCAAAACTATATTTGAATGTAGGTAATTTTCACTCTTAAGAATACATACAAATAAAGCATAGTGGTAATTTTTGTGCTTTTAAAATAATGAATTATTATTTTTTTAAGTTTCTGCTTCCCAACTACAGAATATTCTCTCAGATGAATAGATAGTGTTCATTTAGGGTATTCAATTTAAAAAAGTCTTGGAAAGAAATTTAATTTAGAAAGCAGATCTTTTTGAGTATGATTCCATTATATATTCCAAATATAAGTGACTTTGGATTATCTGTTCTTTTCCGTTGATGTACAGAATTATCAGTCATATAAGTAATTCCATGTGATTCATCATTTACACGTGGTTTTTAAATATATTTTAGGAATTAGTTTTTTTAATGAGATAGTGTAAAATCATTATATATTGAAACTGGATAACTCCTAAACCAGTAAAATTTGAGATTGTCATCTGCCTGATTATGTGTTAAATTTGACATGTTTTCGTTTATCATTATTTTAAATGGCAGCAATTGAAGTTTATGCACACTCCACATCAATTCCTGCTTCTCAGCAGTCCACCAGCCAAAGAATCCAATTTTAGAGCTGCTAAAAAACTCTTTGGAAGCACCTTTGCATTTCAGTGAGTATGGCTTAATGTTGATGGAGGTGTATTCCACCTAGTTTTCAGAAGTATGTGGGAATCAATAGTTGATTATAAATTTTGAATAGTCACCTACACACTGACTTGGAAATCAGGACTTTGAGAGGCACATGACTTATACTATAACTACTTTTTAAAAAAATCATTGATTTTTCTGGTTTTACTCTTTCCTTCCTATACTTTGTTTTTTTTTAGTGGCTCACACATTGAAAACTGGCACTCCATCCTGAGGAATGGCCTGGTTGTTGCCTCTAATACACGTCTGCAGGTATAGTTTCTGAATACTTTAATAAGATGATTCTTCAGTATTGAGATTCAGTAAGCAATCCTGGTGGTGTGTTTTTACTTGTAAAAGGGGAGGCATGTAAATTTTCAAATATTGTATGGAATTTCTAATACATACTAGTTCATTTTCACAAAATACCTGACAACAAAGTTGATCTATATTTAATGAATAGATAAAGAAAAGTGAGTTTCCTATGAGAAAACAGTTTAAATCACACTTTGAAATTAAGTAGAAAAATTATCATCACAAAATAAAATCATATATATGTTATATCTGTTATTCTAAAATTTGTTTTTTGAATACTCAGCCTCAGTGTGAATTCTTTTGGAGGAGAAAATGTAGGAGCTGGCACGGTTGTGCAGGCCTATAATCCCTGTAGCTAAGGAGGATGAGGCAGGAGGATTGCCAGTTCAACGCCATCTATAGCAACTTGGCAAGGCCCTAAGTGACTGTCTCAAAATAAAAACATTGAAAAGGGTCTGGGTATGTGACTCAGTGGTTAACTGCTCCTGGGTTAAATTCACAGTACCAAAAGATAAAAAAGTTAAAAAAAAAAAAAAAAGTGTTCAATAGGCAAAGTGGATATCAGCTATCAAGGAGCCATCTGATACCTGCTTTTCAGAATCCAACACAGTACTCAACATTACCAGGATCATAATGTGACTGTAGTCCTCATCTTCATGCACACTACACTTCACTCTCTCTGATAGAGCTGAATTTTCATTATCACCACAGTATAATGATATTTGAAGTGATGCAACTAAATATAAATGTCCATCAGTACACATTTATTGAATTAGTATTCAGTTCATACAAACAGAGTATAAGGGCCCTAGAGAAGATGTTAAGAAAAACTTTCATTATTCTAATTATTCTTTAGACCAGTTGAAGATTTTCAATTAATGAAACTCCTTTTAACTTGAAAAATTTAGAAGATAATATGAGTGGGATGGAATTGTTATATAATGGAAATCTGAGTAGGCACTTTGTTTATATACTAGCATGTGAGTGCTAATCAGAATGTGTTCCCATGTATTTCAGCTAGTTTTGATTTGGAATTTTAGATTCATTAACATAAAAATCCACTTGAGTATTTTATAATGTAAGTGACTGTCACTAGTGGGGTGGAACACATTCATCAAGTCTCCTTTTCCTCTGGCTGTCATTTTTCAGTTATCAACTCTGCATTTTAAGAGTACAAGGATTTTCAAATTAGACCTTGGAAGAGGAGCACTATCATTTTTCTAAGACTTAATGTTCCAACATGAAACTGATTGCCTTCTTTTGTTGAATATTATCATCTAATATTGACTGACCTCCCTTTATCCCATGTCTTCTCATTTTAGCTTCACGGTGCAATGTATGGAAGTGGAATCTATCTAAGTCCAATGTCAAGCATATCATTTGGTTACTCAGGTAATGCTGTATTTTATTTCTGTCTTCCAATTAATTAGGTTCTTATTTACTTATTGTTATATGCTCTAGGAACAGTTTAGTATCAATTGAAATTTATTGGTATATTTAGATTAAATTCATTTGATAAATGAAAGAAGTAGAACAAAGCTCAAAGGATGACTTGCTAATATCTTGATGAAATCGTGGAGAAAATATATTTGAGGATAGATTAAGAGCATGTGCTGAGGGGGAACCTGTAAGTTCAAAATATGGAAAGTGTGGTTACCAAATTGTTAGCACTGACTCTTCTTGTGTGGTAGAATTTGTGATGATTGCTTCATTGTATTGTTTTCAAAATTTAAGCATAAAGCACTTATGCTCATTATTAAGAGATTAAAATCCCATAGAATTTTTAAAGTAACAGATGAAAATTTCCCTACAACATCAGTATTGGGAATATTTTCCTTTACTATTCTAAGTACTGTCACACTCATACTATTGCTGCCCATGCATTTTCAGGAGATGTTTTTCAAATGTTTCTTAAAATTTTAAGTCTTGGTATTCCTGTGATATAGGAGAAAATACTTACATGAACAACAACAACAAAAAAAAGTTTATGGTCTTGCAACCATAGCAAGTTGTTTCTTACTGATGGAGGAATAAAACTAGAACACTTGAAACTAGATTTATAATTAGAAGTATTAAAACCACAGCAATGATAAAAATGTAAGAATATGCAGATGGAAAGAAAACTTTAAAAAATTCCAGGGCTGGGGTTGTGGCTCAAGCAGTAGTGCACTCGCCTGGCATGTGTGCGGCCCGGGTTCAGTCCTCAGCACCACATACAAACAAAGATGTTGTGTCCGCCAAAAAACTAAAAAATAAATATTAAAAAATTCTCTCTCTCTCTCTCTCTTCTTCTCTCTCTCTCTCTCTCTCAAAAAAAAAAATCCAGATTTGCAAGATAATGGAAAAAGGAAAACTAGAATAAGAAATGTCATGAAAAAATATTCAAGTAACTACTGCTATGTATGTAGCGAACCACCCTAAGTCTGGGGTTAAACAACTTTCTTATGTTCATAGATTACTTTCTTTGTCATAGATGCTACTCAGGTGGTTCTTTTACTGCTAAGTGTCCACTGTGTGGTGCCCAGCTGATGGGTTGTGCTCATTCACAGTCCAAGAATGGGTTAGAATAAACACCCCAAGATCCTAGAGATGGCCTGTCCAATGTGGTGAGCCCAGCGCAGTTGGATTTGTTACTTTGTTACTTGTTACTTGGACTTTCCAGAGTGCCCTAAGAGCAACTGATGCATTTCAAACAGCATTTCTAATCTATTTTCAAAAGTCACATAGTCAGAGCAGTTACAAACCATTCTGTATTAAAGAGTTGGGGAACTGGATACCAGCAAGTGGCCTTACAGTATGGGCTGAGAACTACTGTTGTGCTGATCTTTGAAATATATTAGACCAAAGTAACACCAAGAAAATAAATGCCAGGAAATAAAAGACTGTATAGAGATAGGAAATAAAACACCAAAGTTTAAAGAAGAAAACAGTTTAATCAGACTCTAAATTTTATTTAAATATGAAAAGCTAAAACATAATTAAATAAATAAAAACCCTCAACATAGATAATAAAAAGCGCAACAAATGATCAAATACTGTTATTTTCTACTTCTTATACTGATCTATAGACTCTTTAAATAGTGAAAACTGAAGAGCGGTACTGTGGGGATGCATGTCAGATTTTGTCTGTATTCATTTATCTGGAGAGAGAGAGAGACAGAGGGAGAGAGAGAGAGAGAGAGAGGTTGGCAATATAGTTGAATAGAGTGCTTGCTTGGCCCAGGATTTGATCCTAAGTTGTTGTGCCCCACCACCTACACAGTAAGAATCACTACGGCAAGATGTAGTTGGTTAGAGGATGGAACATGTCCTGCATTGGATACCAGTTGCCTTTCCCTCAAACCTAGCTCCCTGAAATTCCAGGCCTATTTGCACCCACCTCTGCATCTTTTTGCTGTTATGTTAGCTAGAATTCTAGATGGTACATGAGACAAAAAATAAGGGCAAGAGTTAAATACATTTTACAGATTTGCTCTTCTCCTTAAGGCATTTATTGAAACAAACAGAAATCATTAGGTGTCTCAATTTCTGGTTTAGAAAATTGAACAGTTTCTAATAAGTCTAGATTTAAATATTCAAAACAGATAAATATTTTGGTTTTGCTTTTCTAAACTTTCATGGTAAGAAATCATTCATTAACTAAGTAAGTGAAGACTTTTGACTATCACAGACAAAAATCTTTGATAAGTTTTTATTGTTGTAGTATTTGGTACTGGAGATTGAACCCAGGGGCACTTAACCACACACACAGCCCCTTTTAATATTTTATTTAAAGACAAGGTCTCACTGAGTTGCTAAGTGTCTTACTAAATTGCTGAGGCTGGCTTTGAACTCGTGATCCTCCTACCTCAGCCTCCCAAACCACTGGGATTACAGGTGTGTGCTACCACACCTGACAAAAAATTTTTTTAAAACTATATTTTAAGATTATCCTAATTTTATGCAAAAGAATTTTCTGTCCCTGCTTTCTATACAAAGCAAAACAAACTGAGATTTCTACTTCCTAACTCACCCAGGACTTCCCAGACCTCTGGCCATCCACTCCAGGTTCCAGGGCACAGCAGCTATTCCTTTGTGATCCCATTGTGACCATGTCTGGCCTGATGTGACCAGACCTTTGCCTAGAGTAGAATTTTACAACGTAGATGATTTATACTTTGAGCTTCCTCATATAGCTTTGTCCTTAAATTACCATTTTGCTGATTTTTCAGGGATGAACAAGAAGCAGAAGGTGTCAGCCAAGGACGAGCCAGCTTCGAGCAGTAAAAGCAGCAGTGCATCACAGGTGTTGTAGTGACTCAAGTGACTGCACACAATTAGTGAACCGTGGCCTCGTTAGCCAGCAAGACTTCCATAAATACTCAGGCTTATTAAGTCTACAAAAATTATTTTAAGTAATCATTACTCAAAAAGAATAAAACTCACCCAAAAATGTAATAAGTGAATTGCCTCTATAAAATAGTTATTCGACAGATATATATTGATCTCTCACTCTAATTCCAGAGACTTTCCTAGGCATTAGGGGACAGCAGTGACCCAAAACAGACAAATACTCTTGTCCTCTTGGATCTTGCATTCTACTGAGGGGACAATAACAAATTAAAAATATATTTATGTAAATAGGATGATAGATAGTATAGAAAAATAAATCAGGGAAAACAAGACATTTAATGTTGTGCTATAGAAGTGTGCATTTTATATGGGAGGATCAGGAAAGATTCTCTGAGAAAGTGATATTTGAGTTCAGTCTTGTAGATGTTGAATGTAGGACTATGTGTCTTTCTGGGAAAAGAACATTCCAGTTAGAGAAAAGGGTAAGCACAAATCCCATGTTATTTCAGAGAAAGCAGTATATGCTACAAAAATTGTTAAATATCTTGAAGAATAATGTGATTTTAAATTAAAAGGAGTATAGCTAATCTAGTAATGGAAAGCAAAAGAGAAAAACCCCAGATTTTCTATATAAGATGTTTTTGAAGCCTCTGTGGCTTAGTAAATGATGCTATAAAAATGAGTTGATTTTTAGATAGTTAGATGATCTAGAATGATTGATTGTATTGTTTGAAAAGATTGTGCAAATCTAATTTTGTTTACCTGGAAATAAAGATGCAAGACTTTAAAGTTTGAGTTCCAATTGTATGTTGTGAGACTACTGAACCCTGATTTTAGAACTGTTTTGGTTCAGTCATCTTGTGAGTAATAGTGATTATGTAGAGAAGAGAAATTGATAAAACAAAAATAGCTGGGTATTAAGAGTGTAAGGATATTGGTGCTAGTCTAGATAGGCCTTCTCCCCTGGACCCATCTTATGACTATTATTTTTTTTTTCAATGATAAACAGTTTTTTCATTACAGTGACTGCCCCATTTTTACTCTAATTTTTAAATTGTTTTGGAATTTAGTCACAGAAAAAAGGACAACAATCCCAATTCCTGCAAAGCCGTAACTTAAAATGCATAGCCTTATGTGAAGGTAAGTGCCATAAGTTATTTCTTTATCTTATCTGAATTTAAGAATGCAAGTACATTTACTAAGTTCACATAATGGAACAGAGAAAGCATTATTTCCTGTGACCATCTCAGAGAGCCCAGATGGAAAATGTGTACCATACAGATTTTAAAGGTTAAAACCAAATTGCAACATTGGCAAGAATTCAGGCAGTGCTGTATTTTATTCCTGGCAGATATTTCAAAATGTTACTTGATCGGAAAGATAAAATTAATTAATGCTCATCTCCTTTGTTAATGTTTTACCTTCCTGTCTAAGTTGATGTTTTGATGGTGTGATGAAAATCTTGATAAATGAGCCAAACATTGAGAACCCAGTAGGTCTTTCTGTTCCAACACTGAAATTATTCTTTTAATTTGGGACTTAGGACAGAAAAATTTACAAGTAATTTGCAAGATCATGTAGTTTTCTTTGTTCTGCTCTAAAATTCGACTTAGTCTAAAAATTTGTTTTCTTCTTCTTTTGTTAGGAGCTTTAGTAGCCACTGTCAACTGTGTTTTAAGTTTTCAACTTGAGAGTTTTGTAGGGCATCAAGTTGCTCTCAGAGTAATTCTTATGTGAAAACCTGTTTGTTTTCAGTGATACCCAAATGAATGATTTTCTTCCTGTTACACCAGTTCTCATTCAGATCATAAAGTTGTTACATGGCCTTTCATTGTTTTCACCACATTTCTTAAAAGCTAATTAGGTTTAACCCTTTTTTATATGCCGAGTTGTATGTGATTTTTATTTATTTTTTAAAATTATTAATTAATTATTTTAACTGGGTATGTATGACAGCAGAATGCATTTTGATTCATTGTATACAATTTTAGCACAACTTTTCATTTCTCTGATTGTACATGATGTGCATCACACCATATGTGCCGTCATACATGTACCTACGGTAATGATGTTTATCTCATTTCACCATTTCAAAGAGAAGGAATATAGTAATGTGGAATGGACTAGCATTCCTTTAGAGTAAAATAATTCTTTAATTTTGTCTTTCATTCACAGTGATCACCTCACCTGACCTGCACAAACATGGGGAAATATGGGTTGTCCCAAATACGGATCATGTCTGCACACGGTTCTTTTTTGTGTAAGTGAAAATGCTCAAATTTGTGTTACTGTCTTTTCACAAATGAGGTGATAGATAATTGAACTTATCACCAACTTAATGCTTTTGTTTTATTTCATTAAGCATAATGAAAAAATGATTGTTGAAAACTTGTGGTTAGGGTTGGGGTTGTAGCTCAGCGGTAGAGAGCCTTGCACCTGTGAGACCCTGGGTTCAGTCCTCAGTACCACATAAAAATAGATGAATAAAATAAAGGTATTATGTCCAACTGCAACTAAAACATAAATATTAAAAAAAAGAAAACCTGTGTTAAATACTTTAGAAAAACTGAAGATGGCTATTAGCATGGCCCTGGAGTAAAGCACTGTCTCTTTAACCATCTCTGTGAACTTCATTAATAGATTAAAATATTTTTGAACTGTGAATGAAGAAGACAATGATTCATATTCCTTATCATACCAGCTGTCAATGCAGTGAATTGTTATTTTTGGGTACAGTTGTTTCAAAAAAATTGCGTGAAAATACAAAACCATTACTTTTCATTCCTCCATAATAGATTAGTCTAATTTTCACCCACCCCTTGATGCCCAACCCTTTTTCCCTCTCTATTCCCACCTTATCTGTGAGCCTGGCACAGAAAGGATTTCAGGGAAAGGTTGAATATATTGCTTTTATACATTATGTTAGTTACTAAAAACAAACTGAAAAGATGATCTGGTTTATTTTGTAAGCCATCTCACAGTGATAGCATCGAGATTATTAATATACTGTATGTCCATGGTACCCTGTGCATACAGCATTTGATCCATTAACTTGCTGACAGATTATTTACAATGAAACTTTTGTGAGTGACTTGCCTTTCTTTTGGATGCTATGAAAACCATAGATTTTCTTATTTACTGGCTATGATTTTTATCTTAAGGGCGAAGTAGCAGTGAGCATAGTGGAAAGAGCCCTCCCATTGATCTACAGTTTTAATGAGAACTTGACACAAATTAGTAAGATGAATTTTCTCAACTGCATAACCTCTAAAATGAGAATAATGTACCCACCTGTATCATCAGAAGCCCAATAGCAAACATATGGCACATGGAAAAACCCATAATTTTTATCATCCACTATTAGATTATTTGCAATGGTATGATTTTAAGGGAACATCAGGTCTAGTGTAGTAACTTGGGTCTAATTGCACCAGAATCCTTAAACATCTTAGATCCAAAGGACAAAGAAAGAAAGCAGACTTTCTGGGAATCCCCATCGTGCCATAGTTGAAGGACAATGATATGGATGCAGTCCATGCAGAGCAGCCTCCTGGGGCAGAAGGAACATAATGCAGGATTCCAGAGGAGCCGAGGGCTACTGGGCAGATTGTCTGCACACACTGAGGATTAATTTAGACCAGCACAGGTCTCTGTTGAAAAACTTGTTAAATATTTTTTTCCCTCTTCTCTCTTTGCTATCTTGGTTATAACCCATTGTTCAGAAGAGTGCCCTTCTAAAAGAAAACTCTAATTGTAAAATTATTTCACTAAGTCATTTTTGAGGATTTTCTTAGAAAAGTAATCCTCAGAATCCTTTTCATTAATCTACTCCCTTTGCTTCTTAAAACAGTTCAGATTTACTGAGCAAAACAAACAATCTTATATATGGTAGTAGGCGGACCATTTCCAATACTTTTTTGAAATTTTTTTGTTCATAAAATATAACTATAGGGGCTGGGGTTGTGGCTCGGTGGCAGAACACTTGCCTCACACATGTGAGGCATTGGGTTTGATCCTCAGTACCACATAAAAATAAATAAACAAAACAAAGATGTTGTGTCTATGTATAACTAAAAACAAAATGATAAAAACACAATAAAATAAAAATAAAAACACAACTATAGGGATATGTGGCTCGAGGGGAGGGGATTTATTGGAGAGAATTTCTGCACCAGTGAGGGGTAGGGAGAGAAAACATTTTGGCTACACTCACTTTCCAAATAATACAAAGGAAAGAAAATATTTTAAGATCATTTTCATTGCTTTATGAACACAAATGATATTTCATTCTTTTTCTTTGCTCCCTCAGAGAAAAGAGACTCCTTAAGGAAAACTGATAAAATTCAGAACACATCAAAGGGAGAATCCTTTTTAATTACAACTCTGTTTCTTTCTTTGTAAGAAATATTATCACAGAGTTCTATTGGTGTTCCTCATGAGTGGCAATGTCTGTGAAAAAATAAATTGATGGATGATCTGAATTATCAGGCAAACTCAATTTGAAAATTTTTATATTTTTATATTTTTATTTAATATTTTATATTATGCCATCTCTGATGTTTGAAACTTTGTCTGATAGCTAGGATATAAGTTAATGTGTTTCTGTTTAACTTATGGTAGGTGAAAATATTAAGTCAAAATAACTTCAGTGCTAATCTGATTTCCCAAAGACAAGGAGGTAATAAAATAGTCATTTAGTATCATAATCACATTGTTTCAAATGACTAAACAACACAGAATAAAGAAAAATTCTTGAAAAACTTTTGGGGAGTAGACTGGTGTATCAGAAAAAATGAAACCTCTCAGGGGGAAAAAATAGGATAATGAGAAGTTTGAAAACATTTCACTGGTCAGTTCTGAAATGAACAAACTTAATTAAATATAAATGCTCCAGGCAAAATGAAATACTTCAGATGTTACAAACAGATCCCAGCCAAGTGTTAGCATCTAGAAATTGTCAGCAAAGCTTGATTGTGTTAATAACCTTGAGAAGCTTACCCAAGAGGATGTGAAAAATGAAGTGTGTATATTGTGCTCTGCTCACTTATAACAAAAGTGAATGAGGAATGCTAGAGAACAGATGAGAACTTTATATTGAATTTGAGTAAAATAGAAAACCTGAGAAAAGATAAATTGATGATTTGGCCCAGCTTTCCACAACTGCCACGTGAACATGTCTTTTAGAGATGGAGATTCTCTTGTCCCTAAGCTGTCTGCAGATCAAGCAAAGTTTCAGAACCACTAGGTTTCCTGCTTTTTTTTTTTTTAAATATGACAACCTATGTGTATAATACTTCACTCTTTGATTTAGAGCAGGTAGATCTACTAATGAATTGTTTTCACATTTCAACTCTTAAACACATTTAGGGTATGTATCCTCTTCCCGTTTCTCAGAACATTTTAGGAAGTTCAGAAATTTAAGAATAGGAAGGACCACATAAAATAGTCTGAGAAAAATGGTACTGAGCATTTTTTATTCCTTGAGTCAAGCAGATTTTAGTGCTAAATAAATTTCAGGAATGTCTATACAAAGTCTATTTTATCTTTAGAGATGTAGTTCAAATACCTCCTCTTTCACAAACTCCTAGGCAAAAGTAGCCTGTCTTACTGATATTTCTGTGACACATGGAAGCACTGCCATTTAAATTCCATTTATTTTTCAAAGAGTCCTTCCTCTGTCTTCTGCATTTCTTGCAGCACATGACACAGTACCTCATGCATAGTTTCTGGTCAGTAAAATTTTAATAAATGAACAAAAATAATGGCAGAAAGGAAAGAAAATATTTTTAATTATGTATAGTTTTTATTTGGGGTCAAAACAAAGTTTGAAATTTATCTAAAGATGCAGATGAAATGTATAATGACCTTTAAGTGAAATAAAAGTGATCTTTGTTTATGAATTTACAAAAGGTAGACAGCCTTCAGCTGCATATACCATGGAGAGATGACTTGTTCATAACGTTAGAAGGCAAACCATTTAGTGGTTGCACAACAGGGCTGGGATGTGGCTCGGTGGTTAAGTGTTCTCCTCTCTCCTAGAAATACACCCATGTCTGCTCCTTTTTTTTTTTTTTTTTGACAGTCTTTCATTTTCCATAATCTAAATCCTAGAGAGAGCTAGTCTGATTGTCTTGGTAAGACACTTTTATCAACCTACCATTGAGTCTTCAAGCCAGTCTGCCTCTTCTATCTCAGCTCAGAATATGAATAGCTTAGCTCTTGCCTTTGGTCCAGGAAATCTAAGCAACATGCTTTACTGAATCAATAAAATATACCTTTACACAGTCTATCACAATGATTCTATTTGAGCAACTCTAAATCATTTCATTAACATCTTTGGTTCTTAACAGAACATTTACTGTTGGATATCTTCAGAAAAGATTTATAGTTGGGCTGTGTTCCAGATATTCATTCTGTGTATTACAGTAATGTTTCACTGTGGGGTGATATGATACATGTATGCGCAAAAGTCTTTACACACACACATCTATAGAGAAAGTGCTGAGTATATCTAAAATAGCAAACTTGTCCAAAAATCTTGGAGTTTAGACTTGGTGCAAGTGGAATTATCACTTAAACTTGGTAACTGAGCAGTGGATTATGTAAAGAACTAAGTTCTCATTGCTGGATGCCATTTATTTCATTTTTCTATGTTGTACTATCTCAGGAGAATTTAAGTATAGTACAGAAAAGACAGTGGAATACATTAATCTTTGAGAAGCTGCCTGTGCCTGTTTGGAAGTAATTACTGCTTATCTAAACCTTCTGTCTTGAAACCATTTTTATACAGTAAAATTAATTGATTACCTATTTCACTCTCTATCACCATGAAAGTTTGAAAATTCACTCTTTGGAAATTCTTATTCCCCAAGTAAGTTTATTTGAGGAAAGATATTATCTAAAATGTAATCTTTTTTTCCAAAGAATTTAGTGATTTCCGTCCTTTAACATCCTATCTTCACTTTTATTACTAAGCTATACTTAGCAGGCTTGCATTCTTATGTAAAATGCCAGCATAAATAATGTGTCGCAGTCAGACTAAACAGAGCAAGTAATGAATGATAAGTAAAAAGCACAAATTGATTATAGCTGAATGATAATTAGAAAGGTGGGCATGGCAGAGAACAGTGGTAGAAAGTGAAGTGCATGTTGTTAATCAGAAAAGAAGGAAATCATTGTAGTAAGAGTGGATTAAGAAGTCTAGGATCTTAAGAAGTCCAGGATCTAAGGAACACCTTAGAATGGTATATTCTTAAAAACGTGAGTATGTAACAGAAGTGAGTCTGTATTATGTATTTGGGGAGTTCAAATCTCAATTGAGTCGAATGTATGAAAGATGATATGTCTTGAGCTCTGTAATGTTTTGAACAATCAATAAAAAA